TATTTTCTTATTAAGATCCATTAAAAGTCCGACTAAAAATGGTACAAGATCTAGGAGATAAAGAGAACTTAAGTTAATCAATAATGCGATTTATCTGCGATCTTATTAATTCACGAGTTAGATATCACTATCAAATTTTATCTAAACGTGTGAGATAACCTATCTAATTTACTGTAAAAGCATATAACTGGCATGCGAACAATCAGTTTCATTCTGAATACGAAGAAGAATACAGTGAAACGTTCTGCTATTATCGAAGGTACGTTCAATGTCTCTATATGTTGTCATTTACCAATCATTTTATTCTTTCATACTCGCTTTTTCATTTTTCCTTCACACCAATTTCACTTTAAATACCTTCCAATCAATTCGTGTTTTTCTTTTAATTATTAATTTAATTTTACATAATTAAATTTAGTTAGAATAATATGACATACATACTTCCTTTCACACGTGCCTTATCCTATTAGTTCGGTTCATAAGTTTTGATAGAAAATAAAAATTGGTGAACTCTGAATATAGAACACTATTCTTTTTAATTGTTTAATCAATTTTCTAGACAGTGCTGACTTAAAAAGAGAAATATTTAGAAGCAGATTAGTAAATTTTTTACTTTTGTCACTTCTATGGGAATTAATATTATTTATACGTTGTATAAGATAAATTTTAGAGCACGTATATTTAGCTATCCCTTATACTATTTTCCACCTTATTTTCTATGACATTTTCAAAATAATTTTATTAGTTTATATTTATCTTTTATCGTACACTAGCTGCATCAACTTTTCCAATAAATATCTTCTCTATATTTTTATATATCCTGTAACCTTTCTTAATATTTGTGTATTTACTATCATCATATATTATTAAGAGTAAGAAAAGTTTAACTATGTCGATATTTCATCTCAAATCTATTCCGACCGTGATAACGACATCCATTTAGGTCCCCTAAAACACCCTCCATTTTCTAACTCTTAAAAGGACTTCTTTGTTCACCGATCAGCGGTTAAAGCACTCTTTCAGGAGCGTTTCAATGATAATACCCGAGTGACAGGATGTCATTGGATCATTAGTCATCGGAAGTCCGCTTGTAGGAAAGAACATCGAAAGAACCGAGCTGAAACCTCGCGAATCCTCCAGTCTGTTCCTCCCTAATCCCTGGAACTTTTAACGTCGATCATGCTGCCTGTGTCAGCTTGAAAGCACCGCGTATTCACGACATATCGAGGAACTTCGATTCGTGATCTGAATTCCTGAAACGAGGTATCGTTCTCCATAAAATCACCTAACCGAATTTCTTCTGCGACGTTCAGGATCTCTAGATTTTGTCATTGACAGCCTTTCAAAATTCAAAATTTCAAAAATCCTTTTTCTTCTTCGAGACGAGGAAACGTTCAGTTATAGTCCTTGGTCAAACATGAAGTATTTTATAAAATCACTGAATTAAATTTCTTCCACGACATCCTGAATTTTTTTAAAATTTCGTCGTTTGTAGGTTAGGCTGCTTCAAAATTTCGAAAGTCGATTTTTCCTTTTTGAGATGAAGTCACTTCGTTTCCTAGAAGTTTATTTCATCGAGTAATTAGGCTATCGAAGGGGATTTTACATTTTCATCTCCATTTCCGAGAGTTAGCTTAAACGTCATTGAATTGTTTTAACTGTTCTTTGAATATTCCGTGACGAGAAAATTATGCAACCTTATGAAACAATACCCATATCTCTCTGAAAAATTAGTAAATGGATAAAAATAGATTTTCCTGGGGAAGTTGTATCTCAAGTATAGTGATAGAGATAATGGTATAATTTTTTAATACTTCATACCAGCAATTCATCAGTGATTGTGGAAACATCCTATTGTCAAGAATATCATCCTGTCTTGGTCTATCAATTTATTAAGAATATTATTTTTATAAAGGACTTTTAACTATTAATTGTGACCATTAATTAACGTGTTAGTTCGATTAAATGACTCAGTGAGATTAATTTTCGATTAAGCTGAATATTATTCCGCGTGTAACGCGAAGCAAGTATTCAAGACTACTTGTATGAACACCACAATGAATCTTTTCTTTCACAATCTCTGCATGTCTAACACGATACAATATACAGTCAGTCACAGAAGTATCAGTTATAAAAATTGCACCACGTAGTTACGATTTTAATTGAATAATTAAGTGACAATTTGATAAAACAGAAATGAAAATTTCAATTCAAATTAATAAGAATTAATATTTAAAGGGTTAGAAATGTGTGACTCATCGTATTATCACAATATTTTGCTTTCTTTTTGTACCGAAATTGGACATCACGAATCTAAATTATAATCACGTATTAAAGATTCCATGGACCAACACAGTTCAGATTAGCTATCAAAGCTTGAAAACAAAAAAAAAAAAAAGAAGAGGAAATGAAACGAAAAAATTCGAGAAGAGAAGGGACGATTGTATGAAATATTTAATTACACTTTCAAAAAAATTATTTGCGTTTGAAAAGAAACGAAAACGGCAGATCGAAAGTCGGAAACGGAAGTGACTGTCTGATTTATCAAATGTAGCAACACTGCTTCTGCCGAGACTAAAATTAGCGAGTTCGGGGAAACTGAATGCCAATCATCCTCGTGAACAAAGAGACGCTATGAAAGGAGAGGATTTAATTATTACTAGCCTAACCTTCATAAAGATTCTTAGATCGATGAATCTGTTATAAAAGATGGTATCTAGGTGCTTCACTTAACACGCGAAAACGTTATTAACACCTAACAATGCTGATATCGTTGCGTTGCCGGTACTTCAAAGTATCTTAGAAGGGATCACGCGCAAGGAAACGTGAAGGAGATCGATTATTGGTCACTCGCAGAAGAACCGATGCCCTACTATCGATCCAGCATCGATCATCGTGCCATATGCAACCTAATGCATCAACTGTTTCCATGCATTCTTTTACATATCCACTTCTAACCCTCTAACAAATTCATCTCTTTTATCTTCCACGTTAGATTGACCAATAGATAGCATCGGGTTTGAGCGATAGATACAGTCTCTTTTGAGTAAAGTATCATTTATTCTAGTTCAAAATGATCAATTATTTAACAAAACGTCTTCTCTTTCAAACGAAATCATTGACATTGTATAATAAGAATATCGAGATTATTTTTGGACCAATAAAGTATGATCTCAGAGACTTGGAAGAGTCTGAAGACTGTCATGTACGTTAGGCTGGCTTCATTGAACATGTCTCTTAATCTAATTCTTTTACTTAATTGATAACAGTGTTCTATTGTTAATTACACGTTGATCGTCGTATCATGTTCAATCTAACGTGTCCACCATCTATGTAAATATTTTCCTTCGTCCTTTGGTAAATCGGTCTTCAGATTCATGGATCATATTGAAGGGAATCTAAGAGAACCTAAGGGTATTCATACTTTAGGAACAACCATTCACAAGATCAATCTTATTGCAACTCGACGTGCTTATCAACCTCCTTTAAAACAAGTTTCCTGACTGGTTCTTCCACCTGGTCCCAACTCGAAACAATGAATGAACGACTATCGATATTATATATCCGATCGTTAAACCGTATGCAACCTAATTCGTTCTCTGTCGCCGTATATCGTATTCTTTGTAGATCCAGTCACTGTAGTTCAAGCTGCTCATATCTCAAGAACTATTTCTTTATTTATTTATTTATTGATTTATTTATACGGGATTAACATATTAGAAAAAATGCAAGAAAATTATTACAGTGAGGTATAAAATTAATGGTAACAAAGAAAGAAAAAGAAAAATATACGAACAGACGAGATGAGTATAATTATAAGAAAAACAAATTTTTTACAGAGAGGTGCGATGTAGTAGTTGTTTTATAGAGTGAAGAGATTCGCTGAATAGTTCCAGGGTAGGATAAGTGTTGTTAATGTAAATAATCATTTCATTGATACCTGAGGTATCCGACGATAATTAGATGTGATTTGGTATTAGAATATATTATATCCTTCACTACTTGAGCATGTAATACCCAAGTAAACAGGTGAGTCAGTGCCTGGAGGTAAATAAAGAGCACCGATAATAATAGAGTCAAATTGATTTTTGATTTCAACGAATTCCCAAAATCAATCTTAATATACGTCAAATCGACATTTCCACCTGGGTCAAACTTGAAGCATTTAATGAACGCCTATCGATACTCTCTCATCGATCACGCATCGATCATTAAGTCCTATGCAACTTAGCTCATCCACAGTTTCCGTATATTTTCTCCAAACCTGTTCCTTGCACTTTGCTGACCTAATCCCAAACGATTTGCGTCTCATGGACGAGCAGACCCCGAGACAAGTCTCGGGACCAGAAACACTTATTTACTCGAGTCAAACTTTAGACACTTAACGAATCACTACCAATAACTTTCTCATGGATCACGCATCGATCATCGAGCAGTATGCAACCTAACTCATCCACAGTCTTCGTATATGTTCCCTAGACCCGTTCCATGTTCTTTTCTGACATAACGACAAACTTCTTGTGTCCCGTGGACAACTAAACCGAACAACCTGGACCCGGCTCTGGGTGCTGTTCTGTGGCCTTGAAACACGTTTCTGAACCGATTTATTTACCTGAATCAAACTTGGAACGCTAATGAATGACTCTTAATACACTCTCATCGGTTATGGATTGATCTTCGAGCCATATGCGAGTTACCGACCCACTGCATTCACATGCGACCTCCAAACTTATTCCTAGCTCGTTTCCAACCTAATCCAAAGCATTTCACGGGCATCCAAACCCAAAACCAATCCCGACAAGGCTACGAGTGTTAATCTGCCCCTTTGAAACTCGTTTCTCTAACCGATTCTTTCACGCGGTCCCCCGGCTTCATTTCGCATGACGTGTGCCGCAGAGGACCGGTTCACCGACTGGGATGACGTCAGGGTCCCGTCGGCGCTCTTTCTCCGGAAGAGAGCGAGCCCTGGCCTCCCTTTCAGCTCACTCTGCGCGAGCCTCCTTAATTAGCGTGTCTAGTGTGGCCACGGCCGCGGATGCGGCTCTTGCCGGACTATTCCCGCCGTGAAAATAGATGAATCGAGTCGTTCTGCATCGGGCTTTCACGCGGCGCAGCCTCGCCACGTTGTGTCTCGGATGAGTTCCTCTTTGTGTTGCTCCCGATCGAAAGGACTATCTTGCGCGCGCCACTCGCTCCAGCTGCCCAAATGTCTTCGAATTCTGTTCCACCAGCCACTAGCGGCCTCCTCTCTTGCGCGTTGCTTCCCTTTGGACGATTACTCAGGTTGGTCTAAACTGCGACATTTTCATTTTTCTCTTCTACTTTTTCATCTATCCTCTTGCGTTTTAATCTTAAATCCCATTCTTTTACTCTTGGATTTTAAGTTTGCCGCGTTTTCTTACACTTTTCTTCCGGTTTTTACTTAGAATTGGGTTTGAGACTGGGTGGTGGGCGAGATGCATTGCTATGGGTTTTCGGTAACGGGAAAATGGAAATACGGATTTAATTTCGGTTTCTGTTTTGAGTAAATTGAACGAGTTTACGTTGTTAGTTAGTTACAGAAAGATGGGTGAGGTGTGAATGACACGGTTGGTTTGCGTAGAAATTAGGATCACGTTGGTTTAGCGTCGTCCGGGGCGGTCTTCGTTTGTCAGTTTCGGTGACTGAATCATCTTTCTTGGGATTCGTGACTAACGGTGGAAGAATATTCGCAATAACAGATTTTGCTTCGCGCAGACAGGGGGATAAGATGCACGTGGATTCATTTTTATCCGAAGGTTGAGCGGGGTTGTTGAACGTTCTGGTGAAAGGGAAACTAGGTATGCTTGGCGAGCTTGCGATAGTCTAAAATTCTGCACGACAAATGGATAACGATCATAACCCCGTCTACCAAAATCCACTACTTTTCTACAAATTTCCCACACTCTTCCATCGCTACACCCACCCGATTATTCCGTTTCAATACCTCTCTATGAAAATTGGGAGGGATTTGAAAATAGATTAAAATCGACGAGTCTAATTGGCATTCCTCGCAATAGTCATTCAAACTTCACCGATTTTGTTTGATATACTTCACACACACGATACCACGACCACCGAACTTCGTTCCAACCTCACATACCAACTTTCGCGGTAGACTCGATCCTATCGCTACTATCCTCATCGCTCCACTGAACTCGTTCACGCTAACGCAATCGCGGTGTCATCCAAGTCACGTCTACTTGGGTAAAGAATTTCGTCAAACGCCTCTATCAAAAATCACTTTCGAGCCTCATTCATCATCCGGTGCCTCGAATTGTCGGTAACTTTCGAAATCTAGACACCTGGATTTTGCGCGTAGCAGACACAACTGACTCTTGTCTACGTAAACTTTCACGCAGAAAGTGAATCGCTCGGGTCGAAGCGTATGGCGTGAAGGAGAAGCGCGTACGATTTGTCTAGCGCCTTGTCTATCAGGAAGAAGTCCCTGGTAGGCTCTTCAGAGGCGATACGGATTATTGGACCCGAGTAGCCGGCTACTTTCACGCGGATCGTAGTGTTATTTTCGACGATCGTCCGGTGAGAACCGGTGCAAGGATTTTACAAGCTCCTAGCCTTCCTCGTTCCTGCTCGCCGCCGCTTTATCATAGGAGAAACGACTTTGACTCTCGGTTTTCGTTCGAGCAGTGAAACCGTAATCCGATTCGTTCGGTTCCGCGACCGTATGGACTTTCACGCTGAAAGTTATTTCGCATCCCGCGCCGTACGCGAGATCTTCGCTAGCAGTGACTATGGCTGATCTTGGTGCCTCGCGTTCAGCACGCTTGTTAGCGGGGACGTGGGACTGCTGGTGAATCCACGGTCTAATGAAGCTTTAAAATTGGCTGCATGTGTGCGATGCCGTACGTTCTTCCTCGTCGGGATGTCAGGACAGTTGGGTCACTCGAACTTGCGGACTATGTAGCTCCTTTGGGTGATTTGCAAATCATATTTGGTATGTACGTTAGCGCGATGTGTTCGTGAATCGTTGCAGATTAATTCTAGAATTTGCTAGTCGATTTGAGGTAGAATTTATTTTTTCCTAGGAATTGGGCGATTCTTTGTCGCGTGTTCTACTGACAGCGATCACATTCGTCAAGCGATCAATTTATCAGTGATAGATATAAAGAAATAACGTGGAGAAAAGAAGATCGAGAATTATACTTTGACTGCTTGCCCATATATGACAGATGCATTATTTAAAATTCCATAAAATTTCCATAGAATTTCAGCAATGTATAGATACGTTTGACTTTTCACGTAAAGCAAGCCAGGTCTAGTTATAAAGGATTTAATCAGGAACTAGTGACAGAGTGTAGACAAAGGATACGGATTCCACCTGTAAGAGGATACCTAATTCGAACAAACTTTACTCACATTTCGACTGAAAGTATTTGACAGGATATTGCTCTAAGCTTTTGTATGCTATGGAACAACTTGACACAGGACGTCAGAGTTAAGAACAGAATTAAAAATTCAAGAATTTGGAGACATACTAGATTCATCTTCACAATACCACGTTTATTTATTAACGAAATTAACAATTGACCTTATTTGTATATACCACCTTATTATATTCATTTATACGTTGCTCATGTGACACAGACACCATTCACGTGTCCAATATTGAAATATACTATAGAGATCGGTATTTTAGATATTAATGACATGGCGGTGTCCCACTAATAATTTCCCTAGTAGCTAAAGAAAGAAGCAAGTAAAAATGTCCGAAATACGAGCATGCAACTCGCAAGTGCACACTCGCCAGGCTAACGCGAGCTCTAGATATAGATCTATGAGAACCATCGCGATCGATCCACCACTATAACTTCTTACACAAGAGACATGATAAAAGCAGCCTACGAGGAACAGTTTGGTTTCCTAACCGCGAATCGTTCAAACGAGAAACGTATATCCTTACCATGATTGTCATTCGCGTTCACGCGGCCGACCAATAAGCTACCAGGGGTTCGACCCAGGTAATTCACGCTAATTTTCACCTGCACCGAGCGAATTGTCTGCATCGAGCAATTACCTAAGCTCGTTGTAGCTGTTACATTCACAAGGCACTGAATTAGATATAAATTTATCATGGCGCTTTGACACGAATTCGTTGCTTTCTGTTTGCAGGTGACACTGGCCTCTAATTGGATAAAATGCGACCGTACATCCTGCTCTCGTTCCTGGTGCAATTGGCAATCGCGTTTCAAATCCCGTTTCCGGTAAATAGAGCCGTCGATCGATTTATCCGCGATGGAAATGGCGAAATGTTCGAAACGATCTCGATCTGCTGGCGATGGTCAAAGATGGGGTTTTGTCCGTAGAGGACGGTGATAGACGTTGCGTTTTCGCCTGGAGAAATTGCGAAGGATGAGCGTTGGTATTTTAGAAAATGATATCCATATTTTGATAGTTGTCTGATTGATCATTGCAAAGGTATTCTTGAAAAATTATCCTTGGGTCTTTAACCCTTTGCACTCGAGAGGTGCCTCTAGGTCACCATTTGATAAAATTTCGAAGCTCGATATTAATTAATATATCAAATTTAAAATAATGTAACAGTGTACGAGGAATTAAAATCAAATAATACTACAATTCTATTATTATTTCATTCTTTACTTACTGCTCAAAAAAGTATCGTCCGTTTTTTAGTAGAGAATCTTTGAATTTCTACTCTTCTCTAACCAAAAAGTCGTCGAATGCAAAGGATTAAATTTTGTTTCAATTTTCGTTTCATTAAAAGGCTACCTTCCATTTTTATAATTATTTTAAGGGTGGTCAAAAACTGGAAAAAATTATTCCAATACTGTTCAAAGAATATTTACGGGTCACGGTGAAGCTTTATGAAATTTTCGTGTAGCTAAAAGATAGTGTATTTTTTATTGTATAATTATTACAGTAATGATCGGTATAAATAATATTGTTCAAGAATTATTTGCGGGGTCAGCAAGTTTTTCGAAATTTCTATCTTTTTAAAGCAATTGCGTTTTTTCGTGTGATCAATTGGTATTAATAGTAAAACCCGAAAGATAATTTCAAAAATAGCGCAAATTTAGACGCAGCTACGCGTTGGCTGTTTTAGATTGTTCTGTGGGATAGGATTGCGCGGAATGGAGTTTAAACGCGTTAAGTATGCCATTTATGCAAACGATTTCTGACGATTACCATGCATTACGATTTATGAGCTATATTTACAACGGCGTGCATATTGCAACAATGAGGAACCAGATTTGAATAAAACAAGAGCAGACGAACCGTTACTTGAAGAGGAATTGAATTATTACGAGCAATTAAAAACCAGTTTCGTAATCTCTCACTATATTTGAATGAATTTTATTCACTTTTATGCTCAGTGATAGTATGAATTTAAAATCAAGCCCAATAAAATTAGATATTTTATTCGCGATAGCAAACATTTCTGACAAATTAACCAATTTTTATTTTGATATTTCAAAGTTTTTATTTACTCATGGACTTCGATCAATATTCATTTTTTATTAGACAGATAAACACTTTTTCCTATATATATATATATGCCAAAAATTAAAATTCTGATAGAAGAAACTTACATTAGTACCTTTATACTCATTATTTATTAGTTAATCACGATGATTGCTTACATGTTCTGCGAATATATATATAATCAATTGTAATACCCACAGGGGTTGGGTATGATATTCAAGATTTCAATCGATTATTTCCGACTGAAAGTGGGTTTTAAATCGTTTTACACTTGGAAGGATCCTTGCCCATGTGATGGTCTTAGATATTACTGTCAATTAGTCTTCTTTATTTACAAATGTCAGTGATTAAAATACAAGAGAAAACAAGTCGTCAATAACGCTTCTGGAAAACCAAATCTAGTATCCGCAAAAGCCTAAAGTTGCACAAATCAAGAACAATAGAGTCAAGAACAATAGAGTCGACGATCACATACCTTCTCCGAAGGGAGCTTTGAAAGATTTCGACTGCAATGGAAGAATCATTGTTAGAACAATGTTAAGCAGCAAATTGATTACCTCTTCAGAGCGAATTCATAATTATCCAGTCAAGAATTTCGATAGACACTTTTTCCAGCAAATAGTTTGATGCAACAAGCTTCCTGTTAGACTAGTTTTCAACATCGACATATTAAGTTCGAAGCAACGAGCTTTAAAGTGATCAAGTATTTGGCTTGAGACACCGATTTGGTAAATAAAGAGTTTCTATAACGAGTTACTCAGAGGATTGAGCACAAGAGACGAGTCTAGGAGCAATGAGCGTCTGAGACCAATGATCACTGGTTAAATTAGACATGAGGATCAGAGTCTGAAATTTAGAGTGAGAAGCAACGAGCCCCTCTGCTTATTTTGGAGCTAATTATAAACAAATAAAGACTGTTCTTTTCCAAAATGTACAAGAACTTGAATGTTTCTTCGAATCTGAAGCACAGTCATTTAGCATGGTATCACGAGTGTTCAATACGTAATCGAGTTTTGCCTCAGGCACGTTCGATGAAACTCTAAATGTGAACGTTGACACGCGAGCTAAGGATTGCTATCGTTAAGCTCTTTGGAAGGAGGATCTCTCTTCCTCCAAAGAGGTCTTCAATTTTCACGAGGCCTTGACTGCTTGGCACGTCAAGATTTCTCACTGACGTCAATGATACATCATATTATTTAGGAATGAATGACACAAGGCACAAAACTGAGTTCTAATATTGGGTAAAAAGTGAAAAAATTGTAACATGTTTAACACTAGAACTACCAACCCAGTGAAAATGACTGGTCCCAGAATTTTCCTTTTTGCAATCACCGAATACATACACCTGTTTTAAGAATAAAATTGGTATCAACTCGTATTAAGAAAGAACTGTAATCAATATATTTACTCATATTCATATCGTACCGCTGAAATTACTATAATCTGTGCACGTTATAATTAGGTACCCATTAAAGATCGGTAATTGTAGTGTTAATCCCTCAATACGTCATTCGTTTCTGAGCTTAAAGTAAAGATCAGTGAACGCTTTAATTAACATTTGGTTTACAACCGTGTAATAATTATATCACGAATAGGGAATTCCTTTTCTCCGACCAGGTATAGTCTTTCTTTCGCACCAGCTGCGAATTTAATTTGTTGATTCTTCGAAGCGGGCTCTATCCGTCTAGAGTTTTCTCAGAAATAATTGCAAGAGCGTACATGGTCTCGCAGAGCGAATCTACATATTCGTTTCTTTTTCACGTCGTCGACCCGGAAGAATAACAAGCGAAATGAAATTAAACCACAAAGGCATACGAAAGTGAAAGCGATTTAATTAAACAGCTCGTTAACCAGTTTCAGGCTAGCCAGCTGGATATCAACAATGAAACGTCAGGATGTTGCTCTTGCGGTTTCAAAGACACGTTCTACATGGAGTCCAAATGCGGCGTGAAGACATCCTTCATGAGCTTGGTGGAGAAACTGATCGCTGCTACGTGTGAGATCACTGAGCCCTGCACCAGGCTTGGCAAAGAAGAAGTGCCTAACGAATGGTAAGAATCCCTCATGATCTATTCGACGAATTTTTCATTTCTCAAAACCTTATCTCATTTAACTCTTTGCACTCGAGAGAGGCGATTCTCAGTCCCCATTTAATCAGTTTCTAAAGATCGCTATTAATTAACCATTTGCGCTGGAAAGACGTGCCACGCACGTCGTAATGCTTTTGTCGCAGAATCGCCAACGACGTGGTATACACGTCGTCAGGCAATTGTCACAGAAACATTGGACTGTTCTGATACACGCGTCTGTGAATTTCTTGCCAGCGCAAGTGGTTCATATCTCGAATTTAAAATTGCCCAACGACGCGTCGAATATCGAGCTAAAATAATTCTTCGTTTTATTGTTAATTTGCGCTTCTTATTTACCGTTTGAAAAATATCGTCGACTTTATGGCAGAAAGTTTTCCAATTACTATGTTTCTGTAACGAAAAGATCGCCGAGTGCAAAGGGTTAACTCTTTGGGCCAAGGTGGGATCAAAAGTGCACCTTTCTGATGCACCGTAATGCATGCTGGGACATTTTTAGTCCCATCTCGAAATACTGCGACAGCTGCATTCGCATAAGTTCATATTTCGTTTTAGTTACGTTAAAGCAGTTGGTAATACCTTCGACAAATGTCATAAACGTATTCGCTTGTGTCGACAACATTCAATATGCCAGTAGAGGTTCATCAATTGTTACAAGCGAAAGGTTTATCGCGACAATCTTTTCTTCCTGGTTTTATGCTTTTACATTATGCGAGTCCTTTATTAGTAAAAATATACCAATTTTGTTTCATTTAAAACGCAATAAAATTTCCGTGCAACGTGGGTCTATTTTATTATCTGAAATCCTGTGCCGCAAACAGACAGCACATATATTCTTTCAATATTATCCTTTCTATTGCGAGGTGAGAAAACATAAAAATTTGTTCATTCTTATGTAACGTAGATGTAAAGGAGATGAATGCATAAATAAGAAATGAAGATATTTATTGATGGAAATTTGATGATTAATTCATTGAAACCTACTTATATGATTTTCTTTTCTTTTTCTTTTCTTTTTTTTTTTTTTTTTTTTTTTGGGGTAAATAATGAACAAAAATTTCGTTCGTACACACGTATACACACGAGTAATAATAGGATGCAATGATCTTGCACGAAGATATTCGATAGATAGCTATTCATTTTGAATTTCTTCAGTGGTAATATTTATAAGAGTCGTGCGTTTGAAATATCGTTTGAACGATTAAAATGCAACTGCGCCGGGTAAAAGGAAATCTGTGGAATAAATTATTCATGATTTCGATTATTTCGTAATCCTAGCGAGCGTTTTTAGTCAATCAGCTTGAAGTAATATCTGGGTAAACTGTTCGAAGAAATTTTTTCGGCAGCTTCGAAGATGAATTAAAATTTTTAATAGCACTAAATACCGGAAAGAAAAAAATAGAATAAATTACAATAATAAATACTGCATTGAAAAACACGTAAAAAATTGAACAAGCAAGCAAGAAAAAGATATTAGTAAACTACAGTACCTTGCAAATTATAAATTTAAATATATATAATAATTGAGTCGTTAGTAGCTATACAAGCAATAGATATTAAAAATTAACATGATCGTTCAAATTCTTATTTGAAATTCAATAATCTTTCGAGAAAGCATTTAATACCATAATTATTATAATTGTACGATTATTCGCGGAAGGGACAATAATTTATCGACGAATCGCGTAATCTTTAAATGCAATATCATTACATGTGATTACAATATATCGTGAAAACACAGGTTCGACTTTATCGTGGTTGGTGCCGGAGTAGCCGGGCCTGTAATTGCCAGGAGATTAAGCGACAACCCCTGGTGGAGGGTTCTGCTAATCGAAGCTGGACCGGAAGAGCCATCGATGACTTCCATTCCCGGCCTCGCGGTTCATGCTGTCAATTCTACTTTGGATTGGAACTTCAAAACGGAGCCCACAGAGCCCCACCCGACAGCATGTTTAGGTAGCTGCCTTATTTCTTCCAAAGAATCCAGTAACTTCAATATCCATTTAAATACCAGAGAACAATTGAACAATTTTACAAATCAAACTCTAATTATTAGGGAATTAAAGAAAGAATTGCTTCCAACTATTCTAAGAATTAGCTTTGGATATTTGAAATGCGTAATAAAATTAAATTAATAAGATATTTTGGCACTTTTGCCTCCGTTATTAATGACGATTATTCAATTGTTCGTTTTGAAAGTCCACTTATAATTTCTAATTTTCCATATCTGAGATTCCAAACGTACTGCGATCCTTTGAAATCGATAAAGCGTCTCTATTCTAACTTTTCTAATTTCGCATAACGTCACCAGAAACCAACGGAGTGTGCACCTGGCCCCGAGGAAAGATGATGTCCGGCACAGCCGGTATGTACGGAATGATGTATGTCCGAGGACATCCGGAAGTGTACAACAGCTGGGCCAGAGCAGGCGCGATAGGTTGGTCCTACGACGAAATCACCCACTACTTCGAACGCGCCGAAAACCCCATAGATCCGTCGATATTATCCGATAAACCCAGAACCGTACCCGTGCCGGGTCCAATGAAGATTCAGTATTACCCGAACAAGCCAGTGTTCGCCGACGAAGTGCTGAAGGCTGCGGCTGAGCTGGGCTACAGAACGTCAAAATTAAAAGAGTACACTCAGACAGGCTTCATGGTGGCTCCCATGACAACGGAGAACGGAATGCGTGGCACAACCTCGAGGAATTACCTGAGACCAGTTTACGGTAGAAATAACTTGAGAGTGTTGATAAACGCGCAGGTAACGAAGGTTCTGATGAACCAATGGCAGAGGAAGGCTTATGGTGTGGAACTGGTCGACAAGGATGGGTACAAAAGGGTGGTGAAGGCTAATAAGGAGGTTATCCTGACCGCGGGAGCAGTTGGATCCCCTCACATTTTATTGAACTCTGGGATAGGACCCAAGGAGCACCTAAGTAAACTGGGCATGCACGTGGTCAAGGACTTGCCTGTCGGGAGAAATCTTCACAACCACGTGTCAGTCGCCGTTCACTATAGTATCAAAGACACAGCGTACGAATCTATGACCATAAGTAGCGTTAACGAGTACTTGGAGACCAGGACGGGTCCTCTGACCAGCACAGGCCTGACCCAAGTCACAGCCTTCCTCGAGAGCAGTTACGCTGCTAACGGAGTTCCCGACATTCAGATATTCTTCGACGGATTTTCGCCCCAATGTCCAAAGACAGGACTAGATTTCGAGTGCCTGAATGGCGCCATTGGCCTGTGCTCTGACAGGAGGCAGATCGTCGTCAGACCTGCTGCGCTCACCGTGAGCAGTCAAGGGTATATGAAACTGCGCTCCGGGGACCCACTCGTGCCACCTTTAATTTATCCTAACTATTTCGTTGACACGAAGGACGTGAAGGTGCTGATCGAGGGTATTAAGAAGTCTATCGAACTGACCAACACGAGGACCATGAAGCAATGGGATCTCCGACTGGAGCCTGTGATTCATCCTCTTTGTGTGAAGTAAGGATCATTCAAATTTATCATATACACGGTATTTCATGAAACACTGGTACAATCAACTTCTTGTAACTTCTCAGTAGAAACGTCGACTTCTTCTTTTTGCATCTAGGCTATCAGTTAAACACTAGCCTTTATTTACATCCTATTCTTCATGTTTGAGGAAGACGAATAACAAAGTTTCCTTTAAAGACATTTCTATTGAATTAGATTCCATCCCACATGTATATAGGGATACTGTCTGATTGGCAAATATAAAGAATAAGAGATTATTCTAAAATATATATTTACTACAAGCTAAATGGGACTAGGAGTAAAGTATAAACTAAAAGACTAGACCGATAACTGATCTGTGACTGTCACGTACTTCCTTTCACTATGCACATCAAAATCCCCCTAAGACTATCTCTGACCAACTCTTCCTGAACTCTGTCAAAGACAACTAACCGACACTCTCGCATCAACTCTCGCTAAAAACTCCGTAAAGCACTGTCGCAAGACAGCCCTTGCACACTTATTTAACCCTTTCGCTACGGAGCATTCAGAAATGAATTGCTCTCTGGGCAGCCGGCGTGCATCTCTGGGCATCCTACATGCATTCCAACAGATAGTCGGTTGAGAGAATTCAATTTGAACGAATCTTCTATCAGCTATCCAAGAGCGAAATTAAAACAAAGTCACACTTGAGGACTTTACTAGACAGGACTTTGAAAAGATAAAAATTCTTTCTTTTTTCAGCTACCACTTCGCCAGCGACGCTTACTGGGAGTGCTACGTGAGAGCAGCGACTGGGCCAGAGAACCACCAGGCAGGAACCTGCAAGATGGGTGCCTATGACGACCCAACAGCCGTGGTGGATCCGGAACTTCGAGTGCGCGGTGTGTCGAACATTCGAGTCGCAGATGCATCGGTATTCCCGATCGTGCCAAACAGCAATCCCATCGCCGGGATCATGATGATCGCCGAGAAGGCGGCTGACATGATCAGGAACACGTGGTCGAAGATGTGAACTCTGGTCAGAGACATCGACGCGCAGCCCTTCGTTGGGGTATTAAAATTAGGATTATTACTGTCGCAAAAGACCGATACCACGCTTGATTACTCTTGGTTCTCCTGTCGTATGGTATTCCGTGACGAGACGCCTGTTGGAAATTTGTTTACGCGAGTTCTAAGGTATCGATTCAAAGTCTGGGGTCCATTCAGCTGATGCAGACGATTTATTTGCGGGGGATATCAGTTTGGAAAGTTTCCAAGGGGACTGAAAAGTTTATGTACCCGAATTTTATTGTTCGTCGAGTTGGAAAGCCTGTACTTGCGAGAACTTAGCACTGGAACTAACGGAGAGGTCAAAGTGGCTGGGGTCAGAGTCTTTGGCTAGGTGGATTTGTAAAATTAATTTCGATTTTCATTCAGATTATTTTACCTACTGTAGTTATTTATTTCTATCGTTTCTATGATTAATTATTATTATAATTTATATACGGTGTATTCGGATATGCATTATCGTATTAGCGTTGGAACCCGGATTGAGAACGCTATAGACCGATTAATCTTTTGTAATATATTTCGGAACGCTTTTATATACAATACGAGTTCTGCAACGACAATACAATAACTATGAATCGGTGGAAAAGAATAAAAACTGCCCTCGTACAGTTTTCAGAGATGCTTATATATTCTTACTTCTTGGAGGGGTGAAAATGCCCATTGGCCCTTAGTCAAGATAGGACTGAGTAAGATGTTTTGAACTCTGAAGTTGGCAACCTGCCTTTATCAGCTAGGTCCTTTCAGTGACTGACAAGGAGGGTGCAAGTCCTTCGGGTAATTGACTTAGTTGAAACTTTGCAGGTTTGTAGATTTAGTCACCTAGTTCGAGAGAATGTACCATTATTAGGGCAACTACTCGATAGTTTTTGAGATATTTGTGATTGAAGGTTTGTTATTCTTAACTAGAAATTTCTTTCGAATAGTTATCGATAGTTATCATGTGGTATTGTGGCCTAATGGCAACATCCGAAAATTGCCACCAGCAGGAAAGTAGGAATTTTCGGACATCGTCATTAGGCCACAGCGTCACTTGATAAATATTCCAAATAAATCTATAATAAAGGCAATAATAAAACTCTAATCATAAATATCTCGAAAACTAGCGAGTAATTGCCTTTATAGTGATATATTTTCTTGAACTGGATGACTAAATTTACAAACCTACAAAGTTCAAACCAAATCCATGACCCGAAGGACCCGCACCCTTCTTGTAAGAGTCAACGGACCGTTGGTCATCCAACATTAGTTCTAGTAATAAATATCGTTCGATGCAAAGATGGTTTCTCGAAATCGAGGCGTTCGTTTCAGAAAAATCGCGAGATTGCTATGATCGAAGTTTTTAATCGCGTGGATGATAGCGATGGAATATTTGCGAAATTTTGAAGCCAGTCTTGAGAGGTGTAACGTATCTATCGTACTTGTGTGCCATACAAGACAGGATGAGTGACGTCTACGATGTCCAAATAACCAGTCTGTGACTGTTATCCTGTACATAACGAGCAAGCAAATAATTTATAACGAGTAACGTCTGTAATATAAATTTACTATCTCGAGAACAGAATTCCTTCCAACAGCGATTCAATAAAATCAATTTGTAATTGAAATATATCTCTAATTTAATAATACGGTTGTTTCATTTCGATTATATACATTCTAAGAGTGATAACAATATTATAAAAATGTAAATTCACTACGACCCCGGAAACTAGGCTATTGAGGAAAATGGAGAAAATGCAAGCTGAAAAATTGAAATTGAAATTTTCAATAAAATCTAGAAAATTAAGGTTAGGTTAGGTTAGGTTAGGTTCAGTTGAAATTGAAATTGAAATTTTCAATAAAATGTGAAAAATTAAGGTATTGAGAAAAATGAAGGAAGATGATCTCAGGTTTAAAGGTCACGCGAACATTATCATTTCCCTTTGTTATTTTAGCGGTTACGGATGCTAATAGAAATTGCGTAGCGATTAGTATGAATGGAGAACTTATGATGAAGGGAAATACATTGAGTGACGCTCGTGTCAAAGAGACTATAAACAAGAATAAGAAATCAATAAAACAAGGGAATACAAAATAAATGGTACGCTGAGTACTGTATCACGAATAGCGATTTCTACATTATCGACATCTTTTACTACGGAAATGAATCATTTTGGTGTTGAAATCGATAAATAGCGTAATACTAATCGCAATCTTAGATTGTAGTAAGTATTTTAAAATCCTAACATATCGTTGTGTTACCTTATTAGATATACTCTATGTTTATTCTACTCGCACATTGCAATATGTTTATGCGAATTTATCTTCGATAGATTATCTATTTTATTTTTTATATTTTTTCTAATTATCTTCAACAGAAATAGTGGTTTTTCTAATAAGTGTCAAGTTAAAAAGCAAAAAATTGTTCGCGCGAGAACATCGGTAATTCTCGAGCGAAAAATAAATGTCGAAGATACATTTTCCACTTGTTGTTGGACAAACATCGTATTATCGAATGCTATCGAGTTAACCTTATCTGACCTGTTTACCATATTCACAAAAGAAGTTAAGGCGGTGAATGACAATTTTGAATCCTAAAAATCTGTATTCTGTCTGTGCTATAGTTACACGAAAAGTATTACGTTTCTAAGAGGGACATTCCTTCGAATTCTTAATATAAGTACGTAGTAAGTAATTCTATTTCCCATGTAAAATTGCAAATATTTTTATATACGAAATAGCAACAAGGAGAGTGTTTGTGACAAAGAATTAAAAATAACAAAAGTGACTAAGCACGCATGAAAAGGTAACTATATAACAAATTTTAATTTACGATATTACCATGGAATATTTGAATAAAACTTGAAGAACGATCGTTCCTTTTCATCAAGCATGAATTTTTGGATACAAATTTTATCCAATCTCTTTAACCCTTTGCACTCGACGACTTTTTCGTTACAGAGAAATAGTAATTCGAAGACCTTCTGTCATAGCGTCAAGGATATTTTTAAAATGGTAAATGAGAAATCATATGCAAATTAAGACGTAAAATTATTTTTCTTCGACATTCCACACATCGTTGGGTAATTTTAAATTTGATACATTAATTAACGTCGATCTTTAGAATCTGATTAAATGGTGACTGAGAGTGACTTCTCGAGTGCAAAGGGTTAATACCTCCTCAAATGTAGCGAACATAATTTTCTAAATTTTATTTACGATTTTAAGGTATTAGTTTACATTTATAATTTATATTTCTATTCGAATAGGGAACGTTGTTAAATATTCACGAGTCGAAGGCCAACGTGTGTCTCGATCAGAGGACATTAATGTAAAAGTTCACCGCGACACCCATATCGGATAAATAATATTATATTACTTGTATTACGTTTTGCGTTTCACGTATCGTTTACCGGTAAAAGGAGAGGAACAAACATGGTATAATATGAAAAAATATAGTACAGGAATAAATATAAAAGAAAAGAAATATAAAAGAATAGCAAAGGGAAGAAAAACACAATCTGAAACCTAACTGGAACAACGAACGTTTCCTTTTCAATTTTTCAACCAAATCTAAATTTAGCAGGTCTAGTTAAAAGTCAAACCAAAACTGAAAAATTACAGTTAAAAATGAGAAAGAAAGAACCCTTTATTCATTATTTTGTCACCAAAAAATACCCTCTATGTACGATAATCTGACATGAATTTCCATACAACCTAATTATTATAAATTAACCTAAATTAACATCTTTTATTCGTTCAATTTTGATTGTAAGAGTTGGAATATAGAGTCTCACACGCGTACCATAAGTCACGTTTGGGTATCACGGTGCAACTGAAAACGATTAGGTGAAAATGCTTGACGGACAAACAAGATAAAAGGATAAGGAAGAAGGAGCAGATAAATAGGAAGCGAAAGAGACGTACACGTCAAACGATAGTCATACTTTGAAAGATAGGCTTTGTATACGCGTGCTAGTTGCTCGTGAACATCTTGACAAATCGTAGGCCTTCGTGTGCCGTATTCGGTGAAATTTATGTTAGTAACTAGACAATACAGTGGTGAGAATATTTAGGATGAAAGTATAAATAACGAATAGATCTAAACGATTATCGAGTGGATGCTTAGAGGTTAGATTATGCGAGGAAGACGAATGAGGAACGTATGCGAGAGACCTTTGAGATGCGTTGTATGAATGCGCAGTGTGCGTGAGTAAAGTGAATAAAAGGAGACTAAATTGTGAAGTAAGGGCAGTGCGACAGTCACAGAGAAGTAGAGTGATACAGTACAATCGAAGTGTCGCATAGTGGTACAATCATACAGTAATACAGTCAAACAGCAGTGTAAATAGAGTCAGAGAAATTGTTAGCCGTAGTATTACTTTACATTTGATTCCACGGTAGCTTGTAATAAATATATCTTTAACCCATTTGCATCATGGCCTTACTCTACTATTGCTTTGGACACACGTGTTAGTTAATTAGAAACCTGCTGACAAATTGTAGATCTTTCGATCAGATTTGTACTGGAAATCAAATTTGGCAGTGTTTAGCATAAGCGAGTGAAGAATAGTTTAAGTTGGTAAAGATTATTTTAATGGGTCAAATTAAGTACCGTAAGTTTATATTTGATAGTCGATATTGTGGGAATGGTGAGCGTGACGTAATTAGGGTATAAGGTCACCACCTGTGACAAGAATAGAACGACGTGTACTGTATCGAGAAGAATTAAGTAAAGCAGCCACCGAGAGTTAGAATCACTAGAATCGAGTTCCCTCTCTCTCTTCCCTTACAAACAGATAATAATAATTTTCCACTGATCATACGGTTTTCTTTTGTCACCACAGAGTTAGGAAAGATTCAACATGGAGTCGTGTATGGCTGCAAGCTGCACGTCAGCATTGTCCTCAACGCCAACCTCCATTTTCTCTCAATTGATACACATACTTTTGGTATCCCAATGTACGCTAAGCAACAGCGAAGACTACCCTAGGGATCGTACACAAGAGATTTTGACTTCGAACAAAGAATTCGATTTCATCATTGTGGGCGCTGGAACAGCGGGGTCCATTTTGGCTCACAGATTAACGGAAGTGGAGGATTGGGACGTTCTGCTGATCGAAGCAGGAGAGGATCCTTTACCCGAAAGCGACATCCCTGGACTTATGTTACTGCTGTACGGTGATTTTCAGGATTATGCATATAAGGTATGGAAATTCTTGAAAATTAAAACGATCGCATCTTAACCAGTTCCACTTGGGTGAAATTGGAAATATAATCTTTTAGCAACTATGCAGACTAGTAAATATTAGTTGCGTTATCGAAGCTATCGTAGGTATGACGGTAACACGTGTTAAACTTGCTTAACCCTAAACATAACGTGGTCGAGTGACCGATGAATGAAAGAATAGTAGAATTTTAAAAAAATGGAATAACAGAGGGCACTGAAAGATTGATTACACGTATATTAGAAGCAAAAATCGCGAAGACGATAACCTTGAGCGTGGAATTTTGAATGAAACTTTTAAAAACGATCATTTAGACTATGACAGGTTACGTGTTAATCTTCTATTCTATTAAGTACGGTATTACAGACACGTAATCGATAACCACGATTTATATAGTACCTATTATTCATACGATATACGATGGTATTTGTATCGAATTTATATTCTCAGGCTGAAAATAGAAGGAAATATATGGAGTGAGATATTTCAACGGAAATACGTATATATCTCTATTGGTAAAAGGCGAACGCAAATATAGTTAAAAGTAAAGTAATCGAAGATGGCGAAGAAAATGGGAAAGAAATTATAATTCTAAAATGGTACAAACTGCGATATTTCAACTTTCGCTCTAAATTATTTTTTACTTCGTATCGCAATCTTCGCAATCTTCAGGTCAACTCAGTATCTCATTATTTTCATTACTATACTAATTTTTAATAATCGAAACTTGAAATAAACAATAATACGACGACAATCTGCACGTTGTTTAATTTCAATAATTTCCGTATCAAGACTGAACGTCAAGAAGGATTCTGCCAAGGAATCAGGGACAAGCAGTGTAGATGGTCGAAAGGAAAGTCTCTCGGTGGTAGTTCCGTGATCAACGCTATGTTGCACGTTTTTGGCAACGACAGGGACTACAACGAATGGGCCAACCTTGGTAACGAGGGCTGGAGTTACGAAGAGGTGCTTCCCTACTTCAGAAAATCCTTAAACTGTGCACCGGAGCACGTAGCCAAATGGGGCGACAAGTTCTGTGGGACCGGTGGACCACTGAACATCAGAGGCTACAATTACACCATGACGAACATTCAAGATGTCATTCTAGATGGCGTACGTGAGTTAGGATTCAACGCCCTCGAGCCTCTGATCGGTGACCGGTTCGTTGGGTACGGGAAAGCAATGGGTACTCTAGACAATGGTCGACGTGTCAATGCAGCAAAAGCCTTTCTATCTCCCATCAGAGACAGGAAGAACCTATACGTGATGAAGTCCAGCAGAGTAGACAAGATTCTATTAAAAGATGGCCGAGCAACTGGCGTACGAGTCACGCTGAAGAATGGGGAATCGGTGGACATAAAATCGACGAAAGAGGTGATCCTCTCGGCAGGAAGCATAGCTAGTCCTCAGATAATGATGCTGTCAGGAATCGGACCCAAGAAACACTTGGAAGAGATGGGCATACCGACTGTGGCTTATCTACCTGTCGGGAAGAATCTTCAGGATCACGTAGTCTGGATTGGGATGCACATCGCTTACGTGAACGAATCAGTGACACCACCTCCTTCGACATACATACTGGACATAACTTACGAATATCTGATACACAATACAGGCGAGTTAGCTACAGTCGGAATCGATCTTTTGGGTTTCATCAACGTCTCCGATCCCAGTTCCCAGTATCCAGACATCGAGATCGACTTCGGCCACTTTCCACGCTGGAACCCGTTCAAGATAGGAGCTTTACTGAAAGCCTTTGACGCTACCAACGACATAATAGCAGAGATACAAAAAGAGATAATGCAGTCGGACTTGATCATTCCCTGCTCGATTTTACTGCAACCTAAGAGTCGAGGAAGGCTGGAGTTGCGTAGCGCCAATCCAGCTGATCCCGTGAAGATCCATGCGAATTATTTCGCGGAAGAAGAGGACCTGAAGACTCTGATGAAGTCGGTGGATACTATCAAGTCTCTATTGAACACTGACGCGATGAAGAAACAAGGCATGTGGCTGCAGCACTTTGATATCCCTGGATGTAGACACACGAAGCCCGATTCCGAGGAATATTGGGAATGCAACATCAGACATATTGCCAGTACCTTGTTCCACGCAGTAGGGACGGCTAAAATGGGACCAAAGAAGGATCCAACGGCTGTGGTGGACCCTAGACTGAGGGTGCACGGTGTGCAGGGGTTACGAGTGATCGATGCGTCGATCATGCCGAATATCGTCAGTGGGAACACCAATGCACCGACGATGATGATCGCTGAGAAGGGAGCGGACATGATTAAAGAGGATTGGAGGATGAAGCTGCATCATGAGCTCTAGAAGCTGACGTTGATGTACATGACGAAGTACAGTGGTAAACAGAGATGTCAAACGGTGAAAAATGAAAAATAAATAGATTAACTGTTGCCCAGTGTCAAGTCAAGGACTTGGAACTGATCAACCAATGATGTCACGATGATCACTGACGGTGCCAAAATTAGTAAAAACTTTTAATCTAACCAAATGGCAGGATCTGTTAAATCTTCGATATTTTTATCGTGGTTTGAATACATATTTAGCCCGAATTTGGTATAGTCATATTGCGGAAGCGTATCTATACTGCGTTCAACGAAACTTGACAGGAAATAAAACATTAGACCTGGGTTCGAGCTCATCCATGTTTAAGTTCAAATATTTCGTGGAAAATTATGACTTGTTTAGACGCAAGCGCTTCTAAAAGTCTACCGTGAGCATCGACGTTTGACAGCTACTTACTCGTGTTTTGTTCATATTTCCTGCCAATTATCCTTGAACGAAGTATAATATCGTATAGTACACTACGGAAGTATAGTACATAGTATAACATCGTCAGGCGTGACTCGTTACTGTCTCGTACAGATAGAAATGATATTATCTTCAACTATGTTGACAGTTGTATAAAGTGGGAATAAAAAATAAACAATAGATTCCTGGAAATACTATGTAATAAGTATAATTCATCTCTAATTACGCAAGGAAATATGAAACTGATAATTTGGCATAAAGTATTAACATTCAAAATAGCAATCGGTAATTGTATCAAAAATTGTATCAAGAATTTTTATCCCCCTCGTGATTCGAGTAACTCGCGAATAACATTTTCATCCCTCGTTCGCGAATTTGCTGCAGATACCTTGCCATTTGAAGCAAGTTCTCTGTGTAAAATGCCTTCATCAGTTTCGATTTCTCTATCAGTACTGTTTGATCAGAATGTTCACTTTGTATAATACATAACTAACATCATAGTCATTCTCATTACATTCGCCTTCAGTTCTTACATCACTCTCCAAATCACTCTCCAAATGTGACATGTACAAACTTTTCGTTTTAAGTTTACTATTTAAATAACACCGACTGATAACACATCTGGTATGGGTGAGTCAAATACGGCCTAAATGTACTAATTATGAACTTATACGAGGAGCACAAAATAAAAGTCCGATGCAATAGAATCTGTATCCTCTGCTACGTACAGAAACGAGGAAATTATGAGAATTCGCAGTTGAAAGAGTCGCGGGTCGACGGTGACCCAACGATACCAACTGACGGTTAATAACTTTAGTTCTGACAATACTAGGTATGTCTACTATTTGTGAGCAAAAAACCACATGTCGTTTTAACATCACGAACAAGTAATAGAGACTTGGCATGTCAATTAACGCGTTAACACTAGACCTACTAAACCAATCGAAATGACTCGTCGCCAATATTTTATTCTTGCAATCACTGCTTCCGACACGATTACATGTCTGACTTTCATCAAAATAGAAACGAGATTATACCTATTTACCCATCTACCTTCGTTACAAATAGCATCGGCGTAGAGCATACTCGCCGTGCAACTACAAGAACTTTCAAACGTTTTTCACGACATCGTTTCCCCAGTTCCAGAAAAGCAATTTCCTCGTAACAGCATCGTAACATTCCAAACCGTTTCATACTCATTTCGCAACTCGCTAAACCCAACAGCATCTCGATACAGTTTACAGCCAAACGATGGTACCACGAAAGGTTTCCAAATTTGCGAGTCGATCGTCCAGCAAATTTACAATTTATCCATAAACACCGCTACTCTTGAGGAAGCGCTACCTGCCGTCGTTAAACGGGAAGTGTCGAATTTTACGGCCGGCCAAATGACTATTTGACAAACAGAATTCTTAGACAGCTGATGATCGCGCGAAAGGTTGCTGAAAGCGAAAGTGAAAAGCAAGCCACGATGATATGCAAACTTGCAGAAGCTGCTCGCGTATGGCGAACGAGAGAGATATCACGGGTACTGGGAAACATGGAGTTTCGAAGTATGAAAGTAGAGCAAATAATCTAGTAGACCTATGCGTCTACGGCGGTAGAACTCGGCATATGCTCAGAGCCTTTCTAATCGGAGTAGACGCGTCTGAAATAGGAATAATCTAAATTAGATAACAAGGATATACCGTGTGACGATCGAGGTGTGGAAAATATCTGGATTGTGCGAAAGCGAGGTACAGTAGAACTCCGATTAACAGGTATATACAAGAGACTGACTATCCAATATGAATAATTGGATTAGGCTGATGTATGAAGTAGCATAAATGAAGAGTATACCCCTAGATGTAACTACGGATATGTAAGAAAATAACCGAGGAACCTATATAGGGCAAGATTGTCAGTCGTCTACATCATTAATAACACGATGCAATTTATTACAATATTCAGTTTGTACCAAGTAATTTATGTACGAACATGTAAAAAATCAGGAAAAAATATTATTATATAAAGTAGATGATTATCTGGGTATGTAAACTTCAAAAAATCGATTTTCTCTTTTACTGCCTTAAAAAATTCTCCGCCCATTGCTGCGTCGAGTGCAAAAGATCCGAAGTCGAATTTGGAATAAGTCGCGTCACTGTAGAGCCTTTCATCTACTGGCGCAGGACCGAGAATTACTCCGACTGAAGCAAACATTTTTGTCAAGTAAATGTTTCACCACAATTTTTGTACAACACTGTCATTAATTATGCTGGACAGCGTAAGAAAAGAACCGAGATTTCAATCACCGGGAAATTTTTTGAGCATCTGTCCAAGCATGTGGCTCTGGCACTGATCATTGACTGGGAACCTAAAAATTCAGAAAATTTATTTAAAAAATGTGTTATTTGTCTCTTAACATTATCTTCAACCTCATGATCTTCCTTTGAACTTATTTGAAGCTTTGAATTCGATAACTGAGGTTAGGGCGATCGCTACGTTATTTGCCTTTACTCGTCACATTTTTTCGTCATTTATAGATTTTCTCTCTGCGCTGAATCCTGTCCACCATCAGGATCCACCCTATTTTGAGCTATCTTCCATTTCAAAATTTGTACATGCAGTATAATATAAAAAGGACAGTCTGTGAAAAATTTATACTTACTCCAAATATTTTATATGAATATTTACAAAAAGATTATGATAGAGAATGTTATACTGGTCCGCGGCCTTAAAACGGTTGGATACGAGGTAACAATGAAACAAAAAAAGTAATTAGAACCGTTATTTACTGTCAAAGAGAAAATATCCGGAGAATTAGTATCAAAGAAATTGGCGAAAAACATATGGCCAGGGACAATACATGTGTAATGAAAATATGAGTATTCAATGCATATTATAATAGTGCAAGGATTAAGAGAGTAGAAAGCGAAATGAAATTTCGGAATTTCTAATAAACGAAATTGTACACTTCGAACCGATACAAAGGGCAGGGGAAACAACAAGAAATGATAGTACGTTTCGGGGAGCAATCTGGTATGTAAACTTCAAAAAATCGATTTTCTCTTTTACTGCCTTAAAAAATTCTCCGCCCATTGCTGCGTCGAGTGCAAAAGATCCGAAGTCGAATTTGGAATAAGTCGCGTCACTGTAGAGCCTTTCATCTACTGGCGCAGGACCGAGAATTACTCCGACTGAAGCAAACATTTTTGTCAAGTAAATGTTTCACCACAATTTTTGTACAACACTGTCATTAATTATGCTGGACAGCGTAAGAAAAGAACCGAGATTTCAATCACCGGGAAATTTTTTGAGCATCTGTCCAAGCATGTGGCTCTGGCACTGATCATTGACTGGGAACCTAAAAATTCAGAAAATTTATTTAAAAAATGTGTTATTTGTCTCTTAACATTATCTTCAACCTCATGATCTTCCTTTGAACTTATTTGAAGCTTTGAATTCGATAACTGAGGTTAGGGCGATCGCTACGTTATTTGCCTTTACTCGTCACATTTTTTCGTCATTTATAGATTTTCTCTCTGCGCTGAATCCTGTCCACCATCAGGATCCACCCTATTTTGAGCTATCTTCCATTTCAAAATTTGTACATGCAGTATAATATAAAAAGGACAGTCTGTGAAAAATTTATACTTACTCCAAATATTTTATATGAATATTTACAAAAAGATTATGATAGAGAATGTTATACTGGTCCGCGGCCTTAAAACGGTTGGATACGAGGTAACAATGAAACAAAAAAAGTAATTAGAACCGTTATTTACTGTCAAAGAGAAAATATCCGGAGAATTAGTATCAAAGAAATTGGCGAAAAACATATGGCCAGGGACAATACATGTGTAATGAAAATATGAGTATTCAATGCATATTATAATAGTGCAAGGATTAAGAGAGTAGAAAGCGAAATGAAATTTCGGAATTTCTAATAAACGAAATTGTACACTTCGAACCGATACAAAGGGCAGGGGAAACAACAAGAAATGATAGTACGTTTCGGGGAGCAATCCGCCGCCACTTTCGTCCAAATCGATGGTCAATGGTCCGCGATATCCGCGGCAAAGATCCGCAAAGATCCTGTTCCGTGTCCGACTAGTGCCAGAACTCGATCCACTTCTGCACCGACGCCAAACGGAGTCGCCGGACGTGACAGATTTGAAACGAATTGCAAACAAGCGTCCTGATTCAGTGATTTATTCAAATTCGACGACGTGTCGGTCGCGATAAAAGTGGGGTTGTTCCGTTTGCGCATCGTTATAAGAAGACTGAGGAGTAGTGAAAATTGTGCACATTTTGGAATTCGAATAACTGTCTGCAATTGCAAGGGTGGAGTTCTGCGAAGTCGAGGATCAACTGTCAGCACATGCAGCAGGGAAGTTCGTTTTGATTACCAGACGGAACATTTTAGAAATATATACTGTTTTGTTGTGGAAGTCGAAGGATTGTTAGCCATGTAGTGTAGGATTTTTGCTACAGCTGGTGATCTCACGACAAATTAATTACTATATCAAATATTATAAATGTGATCGTAACGTATTGGCGGTAAGGTTACATTATCCAGAATCACGCAATTACTAATCAGATGGCAGAACGAAATAGACAAAAATTCAAAGAAAGTCTTTTTATGGTATATACAGAATGATTACGACTTCATGCTAAAAAATACCGACGTCACTCTTTAGCTAATATTATAAATTCGCATATAGCAAGATCGTTGAGAAGATTTTTTGAATACCAGAAAAAACGGTTCTTTTCGCGACATGAAATATTTAGATGTACTTAAAAGAGTTATTTGAATATTCTTGATATTTCGTCCTATTTTCTCTGATATTAATATACAGCATGAATTATACAATCCAAAACTATGAAAGATAAATTAACGATCATTATTAGAAGGTCTATATCGCAGCGTGGATATTATTCACTCAACATGATGAACTAAAAATATTTCTATTTGAATCGTACCGCCCTAAACAATTACAGCACCCCCGTATGTAGCCGGTGGAGGCGATACAAAGAACCTTTTGTGGTTTAAGTGGCAGGACATTCGAAACCCTTCTTTCTTCTAGCCAATACAATAGTCGGCATCCGATAAAAAAGGAATAAATGAACAAACGAAACATTCATCCCGTTTCTTAACCCCTTAATCCTCATTTCCGATTTACCTTGTTCATTTATGTATAATTTAACTGTATATATATAAAACATGCTCAAATTAATAAATTTTCAACTCCAATCTAATAAAATTTCACAAAATTTCTAAAAAATGATCCAACTCACAACCAATAAAAAAAAGCAGGACACTCCATTCTTGAAAAACGTCATACTGCATTCCCATATAGAGTACACAATATTATCCTGTATCCTTTCGCATCAGTGTTGATACCTGCCGTTAATTCCTTTTTACTAACCCTATCTTACATAAGCTACTTCTTTTAACATTCGACATGCCAGACCACAAAATAACCTATAAAACGTGTCAAATACATCCACGCTATTATATAAACAACAACGTAAGACGCAAACAATTATTCTTGCCTAACCAATACACGTTACCGAAAATCACCAGACAAGCTACTCTTGCGAATATTCTTTTCCAAGAAAAAACCTCGTCTCAGTTTATCCAAACGACCATTCTCCAACCTTTTCATGAAAGTCAATAAAAAACAACTGATTTGTTTTCTCCAACAGCATCGATATTACCAAGAAGAAGCACCATACCACGGTATTCCCGTAAACCATGTCGTGGGTGCCACCGAATCTAGCCAGTCAATGCGTCAATCACACCACACTGAAAACGTGTCAGCCGGCAGCCTTTGTGTACCTAGCGCTAGTGACTCGGCTGTTTGGTTATTCCAAAGACTCCTGTTATGATTCCAATTCTCCGAGTTCATCCTGCAAATTCGATTACACCGCAGAACCGATAAAGGCGAGGTACGGCCAAGGGTATTTCGGAAACCTGAGACAGGATGATACCCGCAGCTATAAAACGGACGTGTCATCCCTGCCATATGATCCTGAGTCGGAGAAATTATCGAACGTTTACGGTTCAGGGTTTCTTTGTAGTCACGGATTTTTAACGCGTGCCAAAGATGAAAGCGACGAAATCGAGGCATTAAACGACGGAACGTCGAAAGTCAATTCACCATGGATTTACGACTACCATTTGCGAAAGAGAACCGCAAGTCAACCGATCCCCACTCTGACTTCAGTTGACGATGGCTTTCGTGCCGAGCAAGGTAAACGAATGCCCAATTTTTGCATACAAGCTTTTGTGAAGGTACGGAGATTTTGTATTTCTTTCGGGTGCTTGGGATGGAAAAAGAGCAGAAAAATTGGAAAAAGTGATGATAGGCATAGAAGGAGAACTTACTATGCGAATGATTTAATTTTTTTTCATTTCTGCAGGGAAAACGTATATTCATCCCGAACAGACAGATCTGAGTCGCGATTCAAACACACTTCCATATGAATCGGAATATCAGAACCAACTAATCCAACAAGGTCGAAATATACGAACATCGCAAGGAGTTATTGACGACCTATTAGTCAGACAAACTCGTCATACGATTTCTTCGTACGATAGCTGGAAAAGGGCCAACAACTTTGAACATTACATCGATTCCTTTGATCCGACGAAAATCGCGAACACTGGTCCAACTATCAATTTTCCCGAGGCAACGAACTTGCCAACGGAAGAGTATGATTTCATTATCGTTGGAGCTGGATCGGCCGGATGCGTCGTTGCGAACAGGCTAAGCGAAGTAAAACATTGGAAGGTACATGATCATCGTATTTCTTTGACTGTCTTTCACTCTTAATTCCAGATTATATAACGAGTCCATTACGGAGTCACTCATCGGTGACTGATATCGAATCTTTTCTTTTCGTTGCATTTACTAAGAATAGATACAACTGCTTTCCAGAATTGCTTTATATATATTTTAGAATAATTGTTTTCACCTATTTGTGAATATTTATTCTTATTAATTTCCGAATACTTGGTTCTACCTATTTGCGAATATTTATTAATTATTCTTATTCATCTTCGAATACTCCTTTTGATTTATTTTGGCGTATTCTCTTTATTTTCTGCTGCATAGTTACTTCTATTAATTTCCTCTTATATGAACTTGGTCTTGAATACTCGTGTCTCAACAAAAATAATTCACAATGGTTGGAGGAAGTATTCCAGAAGGAAGTTCTTCCTGTATTTATTTAGTTGACTGGATATTAATGAAAGGTTCACGAAAAGGATGGTGGTGGGATTTCTACGTCTATAAACGAACGTAGTAAACCGAAATAAGGAAGGAAAGCCGCATGGAATACCATTATAGCTGCAATATAATTGAACACAGGGAACAGGTTTTTATAGTCGCATGGAAATGGGGATTCGCGACTTTTACTCGCGCGGCAATGCATTGTGAATCGGTGACTAGTGTCTGACAGGTTACAGCGAATCAGGGCAGGTTTCGTGATGAAATAATCGAATGGGGGAAATGTGGAATGAAATTCTGCATTATCAGCTAAACGAAAATTATTGCAACCAGAACAAATAAAGTATAGAAATACACAAAAACTTAAGAAATCAATATGCATAGCCAACACAGTTACATACGAGTAGTAAACAATTTTCAAAGAAAGAAAAATCATTTCCTGCTCCTCTCTTCTTACTCGAATTGAAAAAGATCAATAAAAACATGATAATTTACACCACAGTCTCGTCATTTTTTCATTTTCTTTTTTTTTAGACGACGACTTTAATCCGTAAAATGTAGGAGATAGAAGTAAAAGCAGGATTACAAAAGGAAAAGAAAACACGAAAAAGGGAATACTTTATGCAGTAGAACGAATTGGTGCGTCTGATGCGTAAAGGCAGAGAAAGGTGATAATCTTTTCGTTGAAAAGTCGTACAATGCCAATGGCTTCTTTGAACCGGGTCATAGAACAGAAGATTGTCGATGATTATAATACAACCATTTTCAGGCTTCCTTGCGAATCAAACCGGCCATGCAACGCACAATAGTATAAAATCGTTTATTGGCTGTGTCCTGTCGAGAAAGACGAAATAGGCATAACGAATATGATACTCAACATATAAATATCATTAGATTTGACAATCCCCACGTCAAATTCCCCTTTTCAGTGTAAAACATTCCAAAATATTGTTCACTCTTCGATATAACTGTAACACGAAACTTACAAGGTCCAAACGACCGACGAAGACAAATCATAAATAACACTTTATGAATATATTAAGACTCATAGTTTATTTTGAGACACGACATGGCGAAATACATTCTTTCGACAATAAATATTAGTATCTAAAGTTATATCTATTTACAAAGTTAAGATTCTTGCGGAAAAAATTGAGTTCAGAATAAATATTGTCTATATATATGTATTAGAAATTACAGTCACAAATATTTGATCGAATAATCAGTTAAGTAATTTTGATGAAACAACTTGCGCTCACTGAATCACAAGCTTCTTGTGTATTTTTAGATACTTTTATTGGAAGCAGGCATAGAAGAGCCAGTGGTAGCCGAAGTTCCGGGCTACTTCAATATTTTGAGGGAGAGCAACATCGATTGGGCGTATCGCACGCAACCGGAGCAGAACTCTTGTCGATCGAGACCGGGCGGAGGCTGTGCGTGGCCAAGGGGAAAAGTACGTAAGCAGACTGTAAACGAAAGGAACTTAATTATGGCCATGGTCTCCTAATTAGATCCGTTGAAAATCATACTAATCGGGCAAAAAAAATTTTATCTAACAAGTATTATATATTAAAAAAGTATGGAATGTTTAAAATATTATACCTACAAAAAACAACATGAACGGTTACTAAATAGTAATACTATAATAAAAATATTAGAATTGATATTACAAGAAAGAAAAAAAAAAACGAAGTACGACATCAATTGACAATATTCTCCTGAATATAAATTTTGGTAATTATTTAAACATAAAAGGGTGGATTATAATCTCCACAGGTGATGGGTGGTTCTAGCACTATTAATGGGCTGGTTTACATTCGCGGTAATCGAAGAGACTACGACGAATGGGCTGAAGAAGGGAACTATGGATGGAGCTACGGAGAAGTTTTGCCGTACTTTCTTAAATCAGAGAATAACAAGGATTCAGAGGTGACGAACATCTTAGTAAAACTCACATCGATTAAGTAAACTAAGTAATACCCACGTCCGTTTCCCCAATCTTCTAATCGTTAAGATCATCCAAATGTTTCATACGAAGAAAAATAAGCATTAAACTACAGTACTAGTTAACGAACTCATTATCGCTTACAATATCCCCGATATTTCAATCGAGAGATCCGCCTGAATATTATATATCAATCTCTCCATATGTCGGAAAAATCACGCTAAACCGATAAATCCATCGCTATGTTCCGCAGATCGTGAAAGAGAATCCCCACTTCCACAACAGAGGAGGCTACCAAACGGTCGAACGGAATCCATACCTGGACATCAACGCAGAGATAATCTTAAGCGCATTTCAGGAACTCGGCTACGAACAGGTGGATGTCAACGCAGGACGGCAGCTGGGCGTGATGAACGCACAATTGACCACGAACAACGGAGTACGTCAAAGCACGAACGACGCGTTCATCAGACCAATCAGAGACAAGCGGAGGAACCTGAAGATCGAAACTCAGGCTTACGTCACGAGACTGCTGATCAATGGCGCGACAAAAAGCGTGATAGGCGTCCAGTACACTTCAACCGCCACAGGATTAACCAAGTCGGTGTTCGTTAGAAGAGAGGTGATCTTGTCAGCTGGGACGATCAATTCACCACAGATTCTGATGCTCTCTGGCATAGGTCCAAGAGAAGAGCTGAGTAAACATGGGATCAAAGTGGTCAGCGACCTGTCGGTTGGGAAAAACCTTCACGACCACCCGAGTATTTCAGATTTGGTAATAATTCTGAATCATACTTCTACGAGGAAGGATAGCGAAATGACTATTGGTGACATCTTCTATTACAAAGAGACTCACAAAGGACCTCTGATTAGTATTGGACCCCTCACGTTTAACGCCTTCACGCAGACCTCGTTCGAAATCAAGCACGGCGTACCGGACATGCAGTACGTTTTTGAAGCCGCCAATCTGATGAACTATCTGCAAGACAATGCATGGGCAGCAGAAGTCACCGACGTACGTCTGCCTTATTACGACGCGGTGTACATGAAACCAATACTAATATCACCTGAAAGCAGAGGATTCTTGTTGCTGAACGACTCTTATCCCGTATGGGGCTCTCCACTGTTATATCCCAGGTACTTCGCAAATCCACTTGACGTGGAGAGATTCGTCGAAGGAATAGAAATTGTTCTAAAGTTGTTCCAAACGATGTCGTTTCGGAAAAACGGCTTTAGACTGCTCGAAAAATCTGTGCCCGCGTGCGAACACCTTGTGTTCGGCACAAGGGACTATTGGAGATGCATGATTATGGAGTACACGACGACGTTATATCATCCAGTAGGTACATGCAAAATGGGACCGCAATGGGATCCGGATGCGGTGGTGGATCCAAGACTGAGGGTCTACGGGGTCTCTGGTCTGAGGATCATAGATGCCTCGATAATGCCGAAGGTCGTTAGGGGAAACACGAATGCGGCTACTCTCATGATCGCGGAAAAGGGCAGCGATATGATTAAAGAGGAATGGCGGGACAGGGAATGCGTATAAGGCGAAGAATCTATCATGGAGTGGTTGAAGATGAGGAGAGAGGAATTTGTGTTGATACGAATAAGTTGGAACTGTTTGCATTAGAGGACGTGAAGTCAGATGCAACTTTCGGTACGTGTGGTTTGGACTAGAGAGAAGGATATGTAAATTTGACATTTTCATTTAAATATTTTGAGATGATAATTATTATATGAGAATTATTATTTCGGGTGCTAGTAAATTGGTTTTTCATACTTTTAGTATATCTTATATGTGTTTTGTATGCTCTGTTTATTATTGATTAAATATTTATTACTGATCGACGTCATGGTATTTTATGATTATTTCGTTACCTATTCTACGAGGATAGAAAAACAAATTTCCATATTTATCGATAATTCCCTACATACAATTAATATGTTACAGGTATTCGGTATAAATTAGGTCCATGTAATTCGCGGTTTAAAGTCTTCTCCTATGAAATATTATGTATAGTGACAATTAGAAGGAAAGCTTTTAACGATGATAGTAAATAACATTAGATCCTACACCCTTTGTATGTTGCAAGAAGACTTATCCTAGTATATTTTCCGTTATTTCTTGGGAAGTGAATAAATACTGCTCGATTTCCTCATTGCTTATATATACAACATGTTGCCTATAGTTTGGCTCCGACAAATTCGAGTAGAAACCGAAGATATATATCTAAAATATATATTTTTGCATCTGTTAGATGTGGAAAAAAAATTCTAAACGAATACAAAAGAAATAACGACTTTCTACAACGAGTTATTCAGAGGATTGAGTACAAGACTGTTCTTTTCCAAAATGTACAAGAACTTGAATGTTTCTTTGAATTTGAAGCACAGTCATTTAGCATGGTATCACGAGTGTTCAATACGTAATCGAGTTTTGCCTCAGACACGTTCGATGAAATTCTAAATGTGGACGTTGACACGTGAGCTAAGGATTGCTATCGTTGAGCTCTTTGGAAGGAGGATCTCTCTTCCTCCAAAGAGGTGTTCAATTTTCACGGGGCCTTGACTGCTTGGCACGTCAAGTTTTCTCACTGACGTCAATGATACATCATATTATTTAGGAATGAATGACACAAGGCATAAAACTGAGTTCTAATATTGGGGAAAAAGTGAAAAAATTGTAACATGTTTAACACTAGAACTACCAACCCAGTGAAAATGACTGGTCCCAGAATTTTCTTTCTTGCAATCACCGAACACATAATACACCTGCTTTAAGAATAAAATTGGCATCAACTCATATTAAAAGAGAACTGCGATCAATATATTCAATCATATTCGTCGTATCGCTGAAATTACTATAATCTGTGCACGTTATAGTTAGGTATCCATTAAAGATCGGTAGTTCTAGTGTTAAACGAATATATTTCTATAATTACTCACAAAGTATCAAATTCTTTGATTACTCGTGAAGAATGGCCAATTTATGATTCTACGATCACTGTTGAAGAATCAAATTTTTCCATCAAAATCAAGGAAGAATCCAACTGATCAATTATTCTTTAACAGAATACTTACGTCATTTCTAAAATTATTATACTCAAACCTCACTCTCAACCAAATCCAAAGAGTAAGGTCATCAATTACCTAATTAACCCTGATTCGCATCTTATATAAGGATCTCCCTAATCGCCCAATACTTTCGATTCACGTCGTTTACCTTCAAACGCCTCGACCCCTCGAATCCACCGATTCACAATTACGCGATCGTGTTTGGTAGCTGTAACAACACAAGAACGCACAACTTTCACCCGAAGGGTCTTTCCCAATTTTTGAAATACACGAGGCTGAATACTTACACGATGACTTTCAAAATCGGCTGGACGAAAGCGAAATATTTCCGTCGGGTTACACGAGAAATTTTTGACAAGAAAATTTTTACACATTAATGCGAGCGATATATTTTGCACGGTTATTATTCGTTCTCGAGATGCTGAATTTTCAATACAGTAATTCGAAAAATCGTGGATGAAAATGGACGTGCTTCGTGTTCTTTGTAACTAAATACAAAAACTTCCAGATCACCACCACGAATTATGCTTGCAAATGTCAGAATTTTTATTACGATATACCGCATATTAATTAATTTGCGAAAGATACAAGTGAATCTCGCAAAATGCGGATATTAGGTTGCAGAAAAATGTTATAAAACTCGCGTTATCTATATAAGGACACGAAAGGAAATAAAAATGATGTAACGAATGAAGTAAACACTTTTAATTTGAAGATATTTGTGCAACGTCTATCGAAATCGAGGGGTTAAAATATAAGTAAAGTAATCGTTGAAACTTTCTGTACACAATTGATAATAACGTACAATTATAATATAATTGCAATAACGATTGAAAGGCGAAAGTTTTCGAGAGTACTAGCAAGATAACATCTATAGAGAAATTAAGACACTATCACCTTAAATAGCATGAAATTAAATTAATTATAAATAAACAGATAGGAAAAGTGGCTGTCCCTACTGTGACCTGCATTTAAATAAATTTCAATAGTGTATACTTAATTAGATGTTCATAAACGATGTTTTGTGAGAAAAAAATTGGTTTATGTAGCCACCGACTTTGTCGTAACGATTCATTAAAATTTATTTATTGAAAATTAGCGTCTCCTAGTTTCATTTCAGGTCATTAGCCTATTATCGCGACGATTTACGTAATTTACATAAGTTTTATGGAAATTGTAACTATCTCGGGATCAAAACACTAATTTTTTTCAGCATCGTGATCACACGTGCCGATTTTTTCCAACCTCGTCACGGTTCTTATCGCTGTATGGTAGTGCAATTAACTCTTTTGCGCCTATTATGCAAATTGCACACGGGGCCGCAACGTTTCAGATAGACATACGACAAGATTCGAGTGGGAATCGGTAAACGAGGAAATAAATCGTGCCATTCTCGTGTCCAATCGTTCGTGATCACGATTCTACTTCGTGGTGTATCATTTCGAGATTTTCTAGGCAAGAATGATCGAGTGAATGAATTCCTGATTACATTCACGTACACCACGGCTACAGCGTTCATTTCGTCGTTGCCCGAAAGAGAAAATTAGTATCACGCATCCTTGAGTATATTGACGGAATCATGGAGTAAATAATTGCGAAATTAATTGCGAAACCAACTGACACCGGGATGATTTTTCGTATATAAATGAGACACGAGAATATTCGATTTCTTGAAACAGACAAATTTTACGTCAAATTTTGAACGTGAAGAATTATTTTGTAAAATTATTGCAGAGCTTTTAGAATGTACAGATACAGTTGGAGCATGATTAACAAATTCTTTTATATACACGACATCGAAGACCAGAAACGCAAGAAAATAATACAATAAATAAAAGAATAATTTCAATTCTTCCTACAGGATGAAGAATTTTTCCAATATCGCAATTTTCCATACTTAACCCATCAATCGAGTTCTTAGCAAGATATTTAAGATATTAAAAATTGTCGGTTTTTCTTGCCCATGGAACCGCCCATAGGAACTAACAAAAGAACCATAACACGAAAAAAATAAAAATTCCAAAATCCGTGCAAAAGTAGCAAGCCAATGATCAAATGAGCCGTTCAATGCACAAATTGATTAACTCCATAAAACAAAAAGTGGAGAAATGCAATGAAATAATGTATATTGTTTTTTAAAATTCCCTTTATAATTTAAATCGAAATAAATATCGTAGAATGCATAAATACAAATGTAACTTTCATCTAATGGTATATAAAATTTATAAGAAAAAATAGCCCAAAGGTAATCGTTAGTAACGTTACCATTTTTATGTTACTGGAAGAGTTAATCGATTTGGCAAGTGAAGAAAGTAATAAATTTAAATTTAACTAAATTTTACTTAAATTCTGATAAGACGGCATTAAAAAATTCACCGTTATCATTCATGGCTTGCTAGTGCATTCGAGTTGCATTATTGCAATGATTTACATTAGAATACGGAGTTAATCAAAGTGACATCTGAAATAAATTATTTATTATTCAAAGGCCAACAAATTTTTGTCGTTTAATGGTGTTAATCTTAATCATCAGGGAAAGTTATTATAAATATAAAAAGTCATGACTGTACCAAGTGCTTTGACACTTAAATTTAAGATTTTTCAAAAAGTGAAGTTAATCGATTTGTGCAGTGAACGGCTCGAATATCTCCCCGTGATAACAGAAATAAAACCCCATCGATTCTTCCCAAATGAGAGTCCAAGCCATCTCAATCAAATGTCCCATCCTATCAGCACCATGACAGGATTTCCCAGATTGCGACAAATGACGAAACCCGTCGATCAGTGCACGAACGATCGATGAGGGGAAAAAATGGGACAAGAAGCCTGACCGATGAAAGGTGAAGAACGGAAGTGAAGGTGAGAGGCGACCAAAGGCTATCTGCGGGACAGATCTCAACCCCGAGGGTCAACGATGCAGGTACGACAGGAACCTGTTCCAGTCCAGGTGGTGGTAGTACCGTGGTTTATACGTAGAACGTAATGTTGGAACATTCAGTCTTTCGCTTTCTCTGCGTCCGCGAGCTGCTCGATCGGCCCATCTGATCCACGTGCTTCTGTGCGTGGTCCACTGCCATTTTGGCGACGTCACAGAAACCTGTTACGCTAGGAATCGTTGACACGATCTTGAGGCTAGATGCTGATGGCAAGTATGACGTTGCACAGTGAGTATCGAGAAAACGGTAGTTCACGTTGGAACAGTGTTCTCAAGGTGCTATGTAAATCGGCTTCGTCTACATGCAGGAATAGAGGATCGAACCTAGAACAAAGGTGTGGAAACAGAGGTGTCGAGGATCGTGGTTCTCTTATTTCCTTCGTGAGAGGAGTCCAAAGTGGAAATCAAATAAATACAGGACTTTATTCTTAGTTTCCCTTTTTGTAGACTAATTACTAGCTCTGCTGTCCTTCGCGTCCTTTTACACGGTGTTTACTCCTATTGTCTCGCGCCGACAAGGAATATTTCATCGACATGGCCAATCGCCGTGTCATGGCCACGTGTGTCAGTCTATCACACACACGCATACCGTTTACACTTTGGTTCACGGAGTTTCTTAATAGCAGCAGTTTTGATGACTTTTTAGGAATAATTGTTGACAGGCAGCTCTGTTGGTAAATGAATTTATGTTCGTGGATTTTTCAAGGCTTAATACGTTGACTGCCAACTACGAGATATCTCGTTCCTTCGTTATTTGCCATATTTGTACAGCTATGAAGAAATCCGTAGTATAACATTTTTATGGTTTCTGATCATTTTTAAAACAATCTTGCATGTCAATTACGAGATAATTCGTAACATGATTCTTTTTTTAAAAAAAAGAAACATTTTTTAAACCTTTTCATTATTACTGTGCACTGTAAATAAAGGTTTTAATAATATAACGTGATTAAATCAAATTGACTTCTTAGACCGGAATTGTGAAAATTTGCCTAGCAATTAACGTGTTAACCCATTAACTGCCACGATCTCCATTTGCGGATTTTGGAATTTTACGTACACCATTACCAAAAATATATTTGGTAAAATATATGCGCCTGACAGTTTAGTTTTATTCTATATATATCAGTCGATATTGTATGTAACAAGCAATATTGACTGTGCATCGTTATATTTTTGGTTTGGTTTTCATATTATAATGAAATACCGTACATAAATATGTAATTCAGAGGTTATAGTAACGATTTATTACTTACTCAGCTTTTTGTTTTGTACTGAAATGATTTTATCGATCATTTTACAACGACACCCATTTTGGGACTTTTTCGAAAATGTCAAATATTTTCCAAACGAAACATAATTTGAATATAATTATACTGTTACACAACCTTTCGTGCATATATATAACTTATCCGACGAAAAATTTCAAAAAAGGAAATTTCGAAGTTAATGGGGTAATGCGATCATTAAGACAATCGAAGCATGATTCGGTAAAATCTGACTGCATTATTCAACGAGATATTTCTCAGTTATAATTATGTTACGAGTAGCTACACCTAACTATCGCTTATTCTTTAATACTAGGTTTACGAACGCTATCTGTGTACCTATTTCTAAGGACACCTGTCAAAGTGACAGGTAAAGGAAACCACGTGTCTTTTTCTTAAACACTAAACGTACGAAGCGGGATCAAATGACCCCTTTGAAAATTTACTTTATAAATCGTACATTCGTTGTTATTTCTTCTGCTCATCTGAATTTCTGTAAATTCTCATATTAACTGATTGTTTGATTTCTCGCTTTCTGTTTTTCTCTTGAGTTATTTTCTACCGAGAAAAATTCTTTACATACCACGAGGGGTCATTTTACCTCCTATGGCAAGAATAGGTGTATGTAAAATACCGGTACATTTAGCGTTAACGATTAGTTTAATTTCAAAACAATTATATATTATATTAACAGTCTTAATATAAGTTAACTAAATCTGTTACCATGGTATAATTGGAGCAACCCTTCCATCAAATCGACAGGTTCCGTAAATCTAGCGTTAAGAATCCATTTTGCCAATTGGTCCAAGCATGGGGATTCCTTTCATCGTTAATAAAATCGTTCACGAATAATCGTAACATGAGGACAAAAATTTTTCCACCTTGTCACGGGTTATTATTCGAATAGCTCCATGGAAATTCTTTGGATAATCAACACCTGTCTATCTACGAATTTTCTTCATCGCAATACACGTTTCGTTCACTCGTTTCCATTCGAAACGATTTCCCAAAAGGAATTCCTCCGTGGCAATTTTGCGCAGGGAATCTAGTACCAAAACAGTGAGACTGCCATTCGAATCGAATTACCGTCTCGAACGACACGGCACTTTCATTGTCCGAAAAATGAAGGTACGATGAGCGAGTACGGAAAAGGAAAAGGAAAAGAAAGTGTGCCGCAAGCCCTGGCTGAAATGGTTCGATTTTGTAAGGAGTGTCAGGTCGCCCGAGAACGACGATGTCACTGGGCTGCATAGTTAAAAGAAGAAAGTTATGCAAACGCGAGATCACTTGAAATTGTTTCGTCGCGAGCTTTGTGCCCGCTCGTGGACGAGTGACACGGTCACAAACAGTTTCGTGCCGGCGAATATGAGGCTCGTTAACACGTAAGCGAGAAACCGTGTTTTCGCGATTATTGTCTTGTGACGATTCGGCGAGTCCCGGGCACCAGTGCGTAAAGCAATCGAGGAATAGTGCACGCGTAAGTCGGATCATCGAAACAGTCATTTACACGCGAGTACAAAACGATTTTAATTTTTTTCTATTATTTTACGTTTTTATTTTCAAAAAACTTTTTTTAATTTTTCAAATTAGGGAGTGCAGTGTCCAAGTGGTTGTTAATTACAGTGTTTTCTCACTGTGGATTTATTTTTATTTTTATTTTTTCTCGGGTGTGTGTACTTAGGTGTATACAGGTGTACATACAGAAGTGTATATACATTGCTTTTGTACAAGAATTGTCGAGGATATGGATTCAGTTTGGGTTAATTGACAAATATTAAATAATTTAACCCTATACACTCGACGATTTTGTCGTTAAAGAAAAATAGTAATTCAAAAACTTTCTGCCATACAATCGAGGATATTTTTAAAACGATAAATAAGAAATCGTATGCAAATTGAGACGCGGAATTATTTTACTCCGACGTTCCACGCATCGTTGGGTAATTTTGAATTTAATATATTAATTAAAGTCGATTTTTAGAATCTGATTAAATGGCGACCGAGAGTCGCCTCTCGAGATTGGTCTTTTGGGGAAGGGGAAAATTATAGGAGTATATTTTTTATTTTTTTGAGAGTGTATAAATATGTAGATGTAGATACAGAGAATTTTCTTCTGTTGTTTATAAATTTTGGGGGATATGGATAATTTAATATTGTGTTTTCTTTAGGGATTGGAGTGCAAATTATAGGAGTAATTAATTAATTTGTTTGAGAGTGTATAGGTATGTAGATGTACATACAGAGAATTTCCTTTTTTTGTTCATGAATTTTGGGGGATGTGGATAATTATCGATAATTATAGATAATTATGCCTGTGATTATGAAAGTGGTCTAAGTCACTTATATTTGCTTCTGAAATATTAAAAGCTTCAGCCTTTAAATACGTCATAAATTATAAAATTAATTGCGATAAAGCTGCAAACTCAATCTAACGATTCAATTCTTCACTGTTTTGTAGAAAATAAATACATTTTATCGTAATATAAATAAATTCAACACGAAATAAATAATAAAATCGTTCCTCTTAAGTCTCGTTCGATGACTTGAACCACTTTCATAATTATAGGCACAATTATGGATAATATTGTTTTCTTCTTTTAGGAACGGGGCTTGCAAATTGTACGAGTATGATTCATTACTGAAATTGGTGATAAATGTAAATTAATGGATACACGTCGATTTTTATCATTTTCTTCTATCATTTTTATTATTTTTATTTCCTTTTAATTAATTTCATTCTAAAATTTCTATACGTTTCTTTGGTCGTATCTCTAATTTCCATTACCAAAGAATGAATAATGTCATGTCATGGCACACCTTTTTAGATTGCACCAAAAATTTGATGCAATCTCTATCTTTAAATTCCGACCGTAGAAACGTTCGTATATATCTTCGTCAAGAAACGAATACACGCGTGTTCTTATCCTTGTAAATTTCGACAGGTTTGCTAATTCTATTTTAGACCTACTTTGCAATACCACGAACCTGACATTGATTTGCAGCGAAATTTCGTAAGAATCTACTACGTAGCACGTCAACGATTGCGAAAGCTTTTCCTCGCTTGATTACTCTCAAACTGAATCACCTTGGGCAAAATATGGTTTCCCCTGAAATTCGTGACAATTACGTCAACTAGCATACAAACTATGAACGAAATTCCGAAGAGAATTCCAAATAATTTTCGCCAAATTTGGTCGCGTTAATTTTTATTTGTCTGTTAAAAGTTACGCAGAATATAAAAATTCTTTGAACCACGTTTATATTAATTTTTCATTATCGCAAATATGTCGAATGATTATTTAGATTATTTACATAGCAATTTCAAAACACGTTCCCTAGAATTTTTATTTTCAATGTAATAATATACAAACAATCCAAATTAATTTAATACCTTTGCAGGTTGCCTCGAAGAAGCATAAGTACCAAAGGAATTGAACTAATTACCTGTCAAGTTAAACCCAAAATCGAAGCTTTCCCTGCTTCGTGATTAGAAAGGAAATGATCGGAGATAATAAAAATTATCAAGAGCTTCATAATGACATTGTTCAGTTCCATTAATATAAATGTAAACTCTGCACGATATGAGACCTGGCATAAGTTTAGGTAGCATCGACAAAGTTATCAAAATCTAGCATCAGAACACTAAATTACCTCGTTAACCATGACTAATTGCTAACCTTTCGAAACATTATAACTCTCCTTGATAAAACAAATTTCACTTTCTGCAAGAATGTTTCGAATCCTCGACACGTGAGTGTAATTTCCAGAGGAAAGAAGAAAGAAATCAAATGGTAAACGTATAGCCAAAAATATTCTATCCCATCCAAAGTTCTTTAAAATCAAAGTTCTTAAAATCAAACTGCCTATAATCAAAAGTATTCTTCTAAATAAGAACAAACAAAATAGTAAGCTTCTTTAACATGAACTAAATATAATCAAAAATATTCTTCGAGAGAAGGAGAAGAGAGTGAGAAATAGAAAAATTCTATAAATCGACCAAGTCAAATTTACAGCCAAAAATATTTTTCAAGAGGAAGAGGAAAGGAAAGAAAAATTTCGCAAAGTAGAAATTTCTAAAATCGACTAACAATAACTGGGCCAAGAAAAATTCCAAGATTGTTGTTTTTTTTTAAATATCGGAAAAGTCTAGAAAAAGATAGGAAAATGAGTATCATGACAGCGTCTGCAGTGGCGATAAAGGGCGCCACGATTCTTCTTGGAAAAGTGGCGATAATCCCTGTCCTCATAGCCGCTCTGGCGTATTTTAATTACGAGTTGATGGATCCTGAGAATCAGCCAAAAGTGACGAAGAACATAAAGAAGGAGTACGATTTCGTGGTGATCGGTGGTGGATCAGCCGGAAGCGTGGTTGTGAATAGGCTTACAGAAAATCCAGAATGGAGTGTGCTGTTGTTAGAAGCTGGCGGCCATGAGACCGAGATAACCGATGTCCCTATACTGTCTCTTTACTTGCACAAGAGCAAACTGGATTGGAAATATAGGACACAGCCGCAGGATTCTGCTTGCCAAGCGATGGTCGATCGACGATGCTGTTGGACCAGAGGAAAGGTGAGATCCATTTAGGGTAAAGGAGGAATCATGTTAGCGTTAATCTCGAGATCCGAGAAAAATATTGCGAAGAGGGACAGGACTGCAGGCTCAAATTAGAGTGATTCAATTATGATTTCTTTCGAAGCGATCGTTTCGAAGTAAACGAGCAATTAGGGATTCGAGAATAATAGTTGCCGCTAAAAATTGGGTTTCGAAACACTTACGATTTATACAGCTGAGATCCGAAAATGGAATCATGTTGATATTAATTTAAAAGTTTGAGAAAATTTGTGAATAATAAGAGGAAAGGTGGTGAAGTTATAATGATCGATGTATGGTTTCAATTTGGAAGAGTTAGGTTAGGGGTTTGAGAAAATTTGTGAATAATAAGGAGAAAGGAGACCAAGTTATAGTGATCGAAGTTGGGTTTCAATTTGGAGAAGTAGGTTAAGGGTTTGAGGAAATTTGGGAATAATGAGAAGAAAGGGGGTGAAGTTATAGTAATCGAAGTTTGGTTTCAATTTGGAGAAGTAGGTTAAGAGTTTGAAGAAATTTGGAAATAATGAGAAGAAAAGTGGTGAAGTTATAATGATCGATATATGGTTTCAATTTGGAAGAGTTAGGTTAAGGGTTTGAGGAAATTTGGGAATAATGAGAAAAAAGGAGGTGAAGTTATAGTGATCGAAGTATGGTTTCAATTTGGAAGAGTTAGATTAGATGTTTGAGAAAATTTGTGAATAATATAGTTGGGAATAAATATTGGAAATATCGAGATATATGATAAAATAGGTCAAGATCCATAAAGTATACTGATAGTCGATATTTTCTAAGATGTTCTGAATGTTTATTTATTTAAGAGGGTTCTTGATATAGACGAAGGCAGTTGAATATGTTATGGTAATAAAAGCCTATGGGTACGAATGTAAGTGATCCATCATGTTATGGTGTCTCATGGGTCTCAGGACGCAAGATAACGATCTTTTATCTCAGATGAAATAGGGTAAAGCAGATACTACGACTTTAGACAACCCAAAGTGAAATAAACCATTAACAATTATGTTAATTTTAACACGTATATAGGACATAACAATGATTACCTTAAATCTACAGAAATTTCAGTTGATACAATTGATTAATATTACAAATTACCTATTTTTGAAATTCAGATCGAATAAAAAAATGATATATTTATTTCGAAACCGATAGACCCTATATTATCTGCCACAATACAGTGCCTTCAACGATGCTATGTGAAATAACAAATAAGATTTCTTTAATTTTTGAAAAAAAAAGGCGATCGAAAATAGAAGAATTGTAGATGGTATATCATTATGTTAGAAATCACTTTCAACACTATTAAAAAGATTTATAAAACGAAGATTTTATTATCCATACAATTGCTAATTAGTTGGAATTGTACCTTAGTAACTATAGCTTGCAATTGATCAGAGAATTCAAATCATTTCTGTTCGAAAACTATAGTTTGACTAGTTGAACGAAGAATATTAGACAAATTAAAATAGTAGACAAAGTTACATGCTAAAGAATGTCAACAAAATTTGTATCTAACACGATTTTTGGAATTTCAGGTTTTAGGAGGCTCGAGTGTGCTTAACACGATGCTTTACATCCGAGGAAATCGACGAGATTTCGACCAATGGGAAAGCTTTGGGAACCCTGGTTGGAGCTATGACGATGTTCTGCCTTATTTCAAAAAATCCCAAGATCAAAGAAATCCATATTTGGCTCGCAACACCAAGTATCACAACAGCGGTAAGACACTACTTTCACATTTTTGCATAAGTATAGAAAAAGCCGTGCTATAACATGAGAAATAAAAATAATTTGAACAAAAATATACCAAGTCCATTTTGACGAATAGAAGGAATACTGTGCTTCTTCTGTTATGCTAATGTTATACGCAAAAGAAATTGGATAGGAATTTAAAGGAAACTTTCAGAATGTTGGTGATTTAAATCGATTAATCACGCGTAAGACCTTGTTGAATGAGAAAAAACCAAAGTTTCGTAATTAAATTTAGGCAACCTTCGAAAGACCTAGACACTACTGTCGTAATAGTAGGTGGATTGTAGATAATTAAAATTCTATAATAAACACGATACACGGGACACGTAACAAAATGATTCGAGTGACAATTAAAATACAATTTTGGATATGAAATACACCAAATGTAAAATATCCAAAATATATATATTTCATATCACGAAATTAAAGACAAGTAAGGTTAAATGATCGTAGCTCGATATCGTTAAAAAATTGCTAGATTCTCGAAACAATATTCGAGTGTTACTTCACAGCAAACTGATTTTACGTTCACTGGGAAACCAGGTCATGTTATATCACCTAAACTGGAATAATTACTAATAAACCGGTAATAAATTACCCTGCAATGAAAAAATATAGCCACGTTGCTTACTACTCTATATCAGTGCGATCAACATTTCACGTGTTACACGTTATAAATAATCCTGACAATCTGAGTAGGAAAAAGATTGAATAATTACGCGCATACAAAATGAGTTGTGGCAAAAATCAATCTACGTAAGAAATAAGATATTCCTCTTAAAAAAATCTCGTCGCGGGAATATGAAAAAGTGATGAAAAGAAAAAAGTTAATATAAGATCCACAAACAGAAAGAAAATTAATTACACGTCGCAAAAGCTTTTACTTTCAGAACTTTTTAAAGCTACGTATCTCTAACTAGAACTCTGTCGTCTCTTCTTTCCAGGAGGGTACCTGACAGTTCAAGACTCACCCTACAACACACCCCTAGGCGTAGCCTTCCTTCAAGCCGGTGAAGAGATGGGCTATGACATAATAGACGTAAACGGGGCCCAGCAAACTGGTTTCGCATTCTATCAGTACACCATGCGAAGAGGAACAAGGTGTAGCGCCGCGAAAGCGTTCATCAGGCCCATTCAGCTACGCAACAACTTCGACCTGTCCCTGTGGAGTCACGTGACCAAGATCCTAGTGGTTCCCGGGACGAAAAGAGTCTACGGCGTGGAGTTTATCAAAGAAGGTCGCAAGGAAGTGGTCTACGCGAAGAAAGAGGTGATCCTGTCAGCAGGTGCCATAAACTCGCCCCAACTGTTGATGCTCTCCGGGATCGGACCCAAAGAGCACCTAAAAGAAGTAGGGATTCCGGTGATACACGACTCGCCAGGAGTTGGACAGAACCTCCAAGACCACATAGCAGTCGGTGGTCTGGCTTTCCTGATAGATTATCCCATCAGCACAGTGATGAATCGTCTGGTGAACATCAATTCCGCTCTAAGGTACGCCGTCACGGAAGACGGTCCGCTGACCTCCAACGTGGGCCTAGAGGCTGTTGGGTTCATCTCAACGAAATACGCGAATCAGAGCGACGACTGGCCTGACATAGAATTCATGATGACCTCGGCTTCCACCAACTCCGACGGTGGAACCCACGTTAAGAACGCACACGGCCTAACGGACGAGTTCTACAATGACGTATTCGGGAACATCAATAACCGTGACGTCTTTGGGATCTTCCCTATGATGCTCAGACCTAGATCCCGAGGCTTCATCAAGCTGAAATCCAAGAATCCTCTAGACTATCCTCTCATGTACCACAACTATCTGACCGATCCCCATGACGTGAATATCCTGAGAGAAGGGGTCAAAGCAGCGATAGCTCTGGGAGAGACCAGTAGCATGAAAAGGTTCGGTGCCAGGTTCCACAGCCGAGCTCTGCCCAACTGCAGACACATACCCATGTTCACCGACGAGTATTGGAACTGTGCTGTTCGCCAGTACACTATGACGATCTACCACATGAGCTGCACTGCCAAAATGGGTCCACCGACTGACCCTATGGCAGTGGTGGACCCCGAGCTGAGAGTCTACGGGGTGACTGGCTTGAGGCTGATCGATGCGTCCATCATGCCCACGATTACCAACGGCAATATAAACGCACCGGTGATCATGATAGGAGAGAAAGGCGCGGATTTGGTTAAGAAGCAATGGCTGTCGCGAAGAAAGAGGGACAGCGTCACGATTCCGGGCTCGTGATATACAAATTCCTGCCGAGAAATCGGCTAGTCAAGCGATCAATCCGCGAACTTGACGAGGTTCTTTCGCAAATGACGAGTGGTAACAGAGAACTAGCGATTTTGATCGATGTGTGCGTTTAATTCTACTCGAGTGAACTTGGATTTTGGTCAGGGGTTTTGCAGAAGGATATAAAATCGTGGCTGTTTGTTATTAGACTAAGTAGTTTCTTTGGAACTTCATGATGGAAAATGCTATAGATGAAATGAAGTTTTCGTGCAAGTTGTGCAAGTAGTATTACATCGCATTCATTCCTGTTTTATTATCCACACCGAACCATTTGAAATTCTGCTGCCAATATTTTCAAAATGTTTAACACTAACAAGGAGGGTGCAAGTCTTTCCGGGTCATAAATTTGGCTGAAACTTTGCAGGTTTGCAGATTTGTCATTCAGTTCAAGAAAATGTATCGTTATAAAGGTAATTGCTCGATAGTTTTCGAGATATTTATAATTAGAGTTTTATTATTGCCTTAATTACAAATTTATTTCAAATTCTCACGATGTTGGACCACAATGCCACTTGATAACTATCGATAACTATTCGAAAGAAATCTCTAGTTATGATAATAAAACTTTAATCACAAATATCTCAAAAACTATCGAGAAGTTGCCCTTACAATGGTACATTTTCTTGAACCGAATGACTAAATCTACAAACCTACAAAGTATCAACTAAATCAATGACCCGAAGGACTTGCACTCTCCTTCTAAGACTGCTAAAGGAGCAAAAATGATTTGTCCCAGACTTTTAATTTTCGCAGTCGCTAAAAATATGCGACTACTTTTAGCGAAATTAGTAATGATTTCTCTGCAAAGATTATGTCTCGTCATTTTCACTGTACCACTTTACATGTTATAGACTGGTAGTTGTAGCGTTGATACGAGCTTTCCTATACCAAGAACATTTCTGTACCAAACATCCAGGCTAAGGATATTAATTCTCAAATTTATTTTCCAACTATTCTCGATACTTCGTCCCTATCTTTGCGATTCTCGTAGGCATATTATCGCGTCGTTATTTTCAATTAGAAGAGAGTAAAAGAGGGCAAATGGAAGCAAGTGTTTCGCGTTTAACACGTTCTCCACCGAAAGTTGCTGATGAACGGGGCAGAGATAAAGCACGTGACTGTCTCCACAAACTCGTTTTTAAATTTAAAATTTACGACTTACATTATCGATTTACATAATCGATAGCCAACATTGCGACACACTCGATCGTCCAATGGATTGTGACCCATATCCTGACCCGAGAGTAAAAACTTGAATGGAACAAGCGCATGACATCTAGAAGCAACAAGATCCAGAACATGGTAATTAATTCCGTATCAGCGGAATCTTATTCGACGATAAAAATAAAAATTCTGCATAATCATAACTTTCCACTTCGTTTTGAAACTCACGAGCTGGGAAAGTTGTCGATATAATCGATATAATCGATATAATGTTCGATGTTAGAAAAATCCTGTAAATCAATATAACCGATAAAACGTAACAGGAAGGTGGTAAGCAGGTAAAATCTGCTTTGACGAAAATTTTACAGACACGAATATGTGGTTATGCAATATTTAGCTGATCAAGGTATGTGATATCATAAAGGTTTGATACTTATGGGGGGTTTACAAGGGCAGATTTAATTTTTGGAAATAAGAATTTGGAAATAAGCTGATGTCTGTATCTATGTATAATAGTTCGGATTTTTATTACAAATGGACGACTAAAATGATAAGTTATTGTATAAAAACTAAGACATAGATTAAGTTGATTAAATAAATAGGCTATTTGGTATGAAGAGATACGTTTCATTTCTGGGTGAACGAGAATGTATACGTGTATGTACATATACATGAAATTTATCGAAAATATTTTCTTATTACTGGAATATATAATAAACAAATATTAGATAAATGTAAATCCGTATTTATACGCAATTGAAATATTCATACCTGTTTATCAACGAATGAAAGTGATAAATGCGCTACCTGTGACCAAATAATAATTATTTTTCTATATCATGACACGAATGTTGCTCATAAATAATTGTAAATAATATACGACAATTATGGGTGTTCGTTGATTCTGTAAATAGTTAGCAGCGTTGTGCGAATCAAATTCATCGTGTAATGTATGTGTTTTGGTATTGCTCCACCGAAAATGATATTATATTTAAGTTATTCGAGTGAGATAATTAGTGAATTAATTAAATAGCGTTAGGTAGCGTTTCTCGAGAATAAATTGCTCTGCAACGCGGGAAAAATTAGCGAACGATATGGAATGACGAAGAAAATCAAGGTAGATGGTCAGTATAGCACCATCGCATTGCAAAATGTCGGAAGCAATTTTCAATTACGCTACCATTACACATTCCTAGTGAAAATAATGTGTATACGCTTTCTCAGGACGCATAGACTATTTTTAATTCCATTGTCTCGTGCTTGGCAATTTCCTGGGTAAATATACTCGAAGTCATTCGTAATTAGTCATGGAAGATGACACTTTTTGTAACTTATTATTGTAGGATTTCTAAGTAGATTAATCCTGTACAAACCGAAACCTGCGCGTCTAATGAACAACAACTCCCCTTTAATAATAAAACTGGTTTATTTAATTAACTTATTGCACTAAGTTTCTCTCAATTCTAACTCTCAAACACACGATCCTCTATTCTCTACGTCTCGACTACGCACAATCTGCTACGCCCACGCCCTTTTGCACCCTTACTTAAAGTCAAAACTCTCTCTTTCCATACTCAGGCTTTCTTTCTCAATCACTCGACCAGTCATAAATATGTCATCCGTTCGCACGCACTCCAAGTATCGTCCTAAACACCTAAGTCAAACCCGATTTACTGTTTATTATTCTCCAGGTAGAGTCCTTCGCCGCTCGCCACCGCACGTTATACTAAACAAACGTAAATGAAATAAGCGGAAATGTTGCACAGAAAATTTTGTCGGAATTGTTCACCTTCGTCTTACTGCAACTTCGAATCGTTTACCTTCATCGCACGAAAAATATGCGAAAAATCATGATATAAAGTAAAATACATTTTTATTATGACTCTTTTGAAATGCAAATTGCACGTAATACGAAATATTTAATTTTATTCGGAATTTTAGGAATATTTTCTTTCAAAAAGACTTTCCTCAGAATTCCTTCTATACTACATGGATTACCATAAGACACGAGGTAACGTTTGCAAAAATACCTAGCTAGAAAAAGATGAAAATTTCATCTGGAAATATTGTATAAATTATATTAGAAAAATTTGGAAGAAAGAAATTACAGATATTTATTTACGTCGTGTTAAATGACCGATTCATTTTCAATTACACAAGTTCAGCAAATTGTGAAAATGAAATTTCAGACTGTTTTTATTTTAAATGCAACGCCCAAATTCCCCGACTACTTTTTAAACGTCCTTGGGTACATAACGTCGATTGGTTTAAAGGAATGAAAGTACATTTCACTTGCAATCCATTGCGTAATACACGATGGCGATTATAAGAAACCTGCTGGATCTTTCAGACATTTTGATAAAGTGCTACGCGATCTTTCGCACGTGTGTCCAAAATAGTCAGACGACACGTGTGATTGATATACTCTAACCTATCGACCTGATAATTTCTTCAACTATCTTTTCATCTATCAGCTAACTATTATATGTCCACTAATTTTGCAATTTGCAAATTATAAGGTGCCAACGTTATTTCTAAGTAAATTTCATATTCTGCGCAACATTGAACGCGGTTTGCGTAAAATAACTTTAAATTAACCCTTTGCACTCGAGAGGTGAGCTTCAGTCACCATTTCATAAAATTTGGAAGATCGATATTAATTAATATATCAAATTTAATGTAATGTAACAGTGTGCGAGGTATCGAAATGAAATAATTCTACAATTCTTTATTTACTTCTCAAAAAAGTATCGTCAGGTTTTTTCAGTAGAGAATCATTGAATTTCTGCTCTTCTCTAGTCAAAAAATCGTCGAGTGCAAAGGATTAAACAAAAAAATACGAAATTTTCCTTTAATGTTAAAAAATTACCCACCGATACCAGAATAATAAATGATTAATAACAGCCCGCGAAAGTATTCGAATAACCTTGAAACACTATTGCTAATTACAATAATTATTCGACAGCGAGGAATGATTTATAACACGGCATCGAGAAAAGTGAAGACCTTTTTGCCTACATAAAAGATAAATTGTTAAATATATTTGAATTTTAAACAAGAATTTCTAAAGATCACAAATAAATGCTGACTCATAAACGGATGCACGTCAGAGACATTTCGAATCACGATAAATCTTCGCGACATCTTGCATAAAGAGAAACCTCGCCGAATTGGTGGATCGTGGAGTAAAAAAGCTTCGAGAAAAATTTGAACGATGCTTATGTAACCGATTATTTCGAGAACGTGGTGAAACGTCGATCGCTAAAACGATCATCTCGTACGAAGGTGTTTCACAATCGATGATTCGTTGTGTGGTCAGTGGGACAAGAAACGGATACAATGGTTCGTAAGAGCAGCGTCCTAGTCACGATAAGTATAGTCGGGGAATAATGTTAATAACGGTCCAGTCGTTGATTAAACGATTATCATTATCCATGATTGCAACGATGAGGCCTTGTTTCCAATTGAGAAAGTGGAGTGCACGACACGCAGGTGCACAGCGATCTCTGAGAGCGAGATCTGAAAACCAAGATCCGCTATTCACTGCTTTGTATCATTCTTAGTCGATAAAGAAGTATTTCGAACGAAGCGTCATCCAGTCATCGAGGGATTCAATGGTAAAATATCGTCTGGCGATAAAAATTTATGCAAAGGAAACGAAATTTTTCAGAGAAGAACAAAATTCGTGAAATTCGATAGGTAACGTTCTTTTGCCGAAATTTTTGTAGAAAAATTGCTGAAACGCGGAGGAAAATTATTGTGGAAATATTTATACGAAAATTCATATGTAAGAGGAGATATT